AAAAAAAAGGAAAAAAATGGGTTTAAACTCACCTCCACTTCCTTCTCATTAGCAGACGTGCTGTAGGATAAGACAAAGGACTTGCTCAGAATATAATCCAACAGAAAAATAAAAAGTGAAATTAAAATATAAAGAAGAACTTACTTTTCACTTTGTCTGAAGTTAACCGATTTCGCGGTAGTTACTGGAATAGGGGAAATCCCAGATTCTATCAAAAGAGAATAAATATTTGGTTAAGATGGCTCAACACCTAAAAGTGCATTTTCATTAAATACTGTTATGTCCCATATTTACTAAATGAAGGCATTTCATTTAAATACATCTGAGATGATAGCCAGCTAATGTGTGCGCTTAAATTGTAAGATAATGTTTGCGAAGCCATTGGGATCAGAGCATTAAGATCACGGATTCACATCTCAAGCAGTCTTTGAAACYGGAAGATGTAACAGAGTCAAGAGATGGGCCCATCTGTCCTCTTTGCATTTGAATATTTGTTTTACTAGATCTCATGCTACATGCATACCTTCCTCTGGTATTCTGGTTCTTCCTTGGATTAAAACTTTAAAAGCAGCACTGGCAGGAATAATAGTTATACTAACAGTAGTAGCAGTAACAATAAATAATAATAATCCTGGTAGTAACAGTAACAATAAACATAGCATCAAACTCAGGTTTACAATATGCCAGTCCCAGAACAAAGCTCTTTACATTTATTAGGATTTTCTTTATGACAACTTTGCAAAGGACAATATATCTAATAAAGAGCATTAGATTTGAAACTGATAACACTTGATTTAAAGCTAAGCTTTGGCTCTTACAGATATGTGATCATGAATAAAACAACCTTATTAAATCATCTACAAAATAAGAATATTATTTTGATATAATAGATAACTTTTATGAGAACTGCTGTGCCAGGCCCTTTTCTGTGTGCTTCATACATATTAAATCAATCAATCAATCCTCACAGCAAGTTTTCTGTGGCAGACACTGTTTTCTGCTTTTCACAGGCTAGGAAAATGAACCTTACCTTACCTCATATTTGCAGGATTGACTAAAACTATGCACATAAGGAATTTAGCCTAGGACTTAGTATATTGTCAACTTTCTATAAACTATACTTACTTTTTAAATACATAATTACCATTTTGCAGATGAGAAACTGAGACTCAACATTGAATAACTATCTAATACCACATAATGGTCAGAGCTGGACCCAAACTGGAGCCTGAGTGACCTGACAGCCTGAACTCTGGCCACTGTTCCATCCTAGTGAAGGGAGGGAAGCATATTAGGTCTCATTTTTAAAACATTGGGTTTTTTTTTACTTTTAGATGTGATGCTGAAAAAACTAAGTAGAGCAGAGAATTACTACCAACATGCACGGGCTTGCTTCTTAGTTAACAATAGAGCACTAATTATTACAAGTCCTCTGGCATTGAACAGTCAATGAAATGTCAATGTGGCTTTTTGACAATGATACAAATGGAATCAGGACTGGGTTCTATTGGCTGACCTTATCCAGGGATGCAGAATTTGTAGGTGGCCTATCTTTACTCAGACTACAGCTACAAAAATAGCCACAGGGACAAAAGTACATATGAGGTTGAAAGAACACATTTCTTACCTCCTGAAGCACATTCTTTTCTATGCTCTTCTATTGTTTTGGGTTCCTCTTTGGCTTCCTAAAATCATAAGGAAATTTTATTGTTGTACATAGAGTGGAAGTTCTTCATAACCAAGCGTTTCTTCACTTCCTGTCCTCTACTAACCCAACTCTACAGTGCTCAGGGAATTGTAATAAGGGTTAAGGAAAAACAAAAACAAGTCTACTTGTAAGGGCCTTCTCAATCTAGTTGAGGCAAACAGAACATAAACATGAAAAGCTGTGAACATGACACAATTTATCACAAAGCAAACTTGGATTAATTGCCAAGTAAATGAGGCTTAGGTAAGTCAGTGTTCTGAATGGGAAGGAGGCAGAGCCGAATAGGACATCTGCAGGCCAGGAGTGTGACAGCAGCAACAGGAGAGGTAGAACTGAGATGGATGGATGGATGGATGGATGGATGAGAGATAAAGTAGAGGTGATCTAGAACCATATAATGTGGCTTCCTATGTTGGTTTTTGAGAGAAATTGTGGCAAAGATAGCTGTTAAGATTGTGCCAGGTGTGGTGGTGCACACCTGTAATCCCAGCAGCTTGGGAGGCTGAAACAGGAGGATCACAAGTCCAAAGCCAGCCTCAGCAAAAGCGAGGTGCTAAGCAACTCAGTGAGACCCTGTCTCTAAATGAAACACAAAATAGGGCTGGGGATGTGGCTCAGTGGTTGAGTGCCCCTGAGTTCAATCCCCAGTACCAAAAAAAAAAAAAAAAAAAGATTGTGTTGTGTGAGGTTTTAATTTCACATAATATATTTTTAGGTCACTGACCAACTGTTCTATACATAATAAATGCACTTGTATACAAGGGTTACCATAACAACAGGATTGTACTGTACTGTCTGGGAAAATCTCATGGGAGAATTTAAGTATGCAATTATTTTTATGGTATTATTAGACATTTTCAAAAGAATGGAGAAATTTAGAAAACCAAAGTTCCCCATCAAAAAAATAAGTCTAAGAAAACAAATTTCCTTGGTAGAGCCATTGATACCATGCCATGAAATGAAGGTTTCAATAGACTACAACAAATGTAATAATACAGGTAAAGTGCTGGCTCACTGTCATCAACAGGTGAACACTTTTGAGTTTTTTGAATCTTTTTCAATCCCATGACCTCTCCCAGTCACAGCGCTCCTGCGGCCCTCCTCAGCCTTGCTCCAGGAGGGCCTGACCATGGCTGAATCCAGTCTATCTTCCACTCATGATCAAATGCACTTCTTTTTTTTTATTATTAGTTGTTCATGACAATACAATGATCTTGAAATATCATACATTTGAATCAAATGGTGTATAATTTCTCATTTTTCCAAGTGTACAGGTTGCAGAATCACATTGGTTATACGGCCACGTGTATACATACAGCACTTYTCTAGCTTATGCCCAACACTCCAGGGAAACTGCTCTCATCAATGACCTCCTTAGTGCCAAATCCAATGACCATCCTCACTYTTAATCTCACTTGAACTCATTTAGCATATAAAACAAACAAACAAAATCTTCTTGAAGATGATTTTCCCTCTCCTGAGGGTCTCCCTTCCCAGTCTCTTGGCTGTTGCCTTCTCTCCTAAATACTATCATTACCCTGAGTGCTCCTGCTGGCCCGAGTCATTGGAAAATCTCATCCACATATTTGCAGAGTTCTTTGCTGATAACTCATGAACATGTTTCTGTTTCTAAAAGAGTCACATGAGTGAGATTATGAACATAGGTGCATAGTTATGTATAAAATCTCCTTAGAGACTACAGATGTCTCATATCAATCCAAAACTTACTTCAAAATGATCTTATTTAACCTCACAAATTCAGTTCTTCCTTTTCCCATCCTCTCACGTTATTCTATTCATTCTTGTAGGTTAATCCATAAAACCTGGGTACCTCTTTTCCTACATCCCTGATGGAAGTCACTACTGCTGAGAATTTCCACCTCTAAATAAATCTCAAATTCATCTCCTTTTCTCCATCTTCACCAAGTTTAAACTACCTCCATCTCTTATCTGATTTATTACAACTGCATTATAATCAGTCCTACTACCACAATTACTACATTTTCCTAATAGATTATGTCTTAAAGTGTAATTTTTTTTTGAGATGGGAAGGATTTTTTTTTTTCCTCAGAACACTCTACTATGGATAACTAAAGAAGTTACAGGGGGAATGATTTTCAGCATATGAGATAGCCAGCGCTACACCCTATGTATACTTCACACCAGTCAAAGGATAGTTTCGGATCACATACCTCACCGTCCCATTTCCTGTAGACTGGGAGGCCATAACATTTTATTCTACCTTATTTATCACCCATATGCACCCATATCAGAGACTCCTCTTCACTTGATTAGTTTGCATGAATCTGTTTCTTGCAAACAAATGGATCTAAATGCAACAATGCTTATATACTGAGAGGAAGACTGCAACAAAACACACACACACACACACACACACACACACACACACGAACTCCACACATCCAACAGTGGGACTAATACATAAGTAAGACCCCTGAAGAATCATGAAGTTGGATCCATAGCCTACAAGTTACCCTTCAATTATAAATTCATATAAGTAGAAATAAGACATCCTTCACAAAAGGAACTAACATTTTTTTTCTATAAACATTTATAGCTATCCTTATGTCTTAGAGAGCTTAGAGAGTGACTATATTCAAGATGGCTAATTCGATTAACCTCATAATTTTCAAAGAATAAATGGGGAATACTTCTAAGAGTCCTTTGCAAATTAAAGAGGCAGCTCTACCACAGTAACATCCATTTTATTGTTCACATGTGCGTACTTCCTTACCAGATTTGGTATGGCTTTATCCTTACTCATAGTGTCTTGACATACAATGTTCTCAGGATCTGGACTGGTGCCTATGAGAAAAAGGAAATACAGTCAACCGTTGGGGGTGCAGTAACAAGTAAAAGAGGAAGAAATTGTGAGGGTAGCAATGTGGACAGACCAGGGAAGACAAGAACCTTAGCATGTGAGACAAACGTAGGTACTGCAAAATGCACGAAGGCGCATGACTCAGAGTCAGGGATGGAGGAGGCCCATGGGGAAGTTGAACCACATAAAACTGCCCAATCAAAGGAACATCTCCATGAACGCCCTTTCAAAGTAGGCTCGTTTTTCTTTAATCTTTTTTTTTTTTTTTTTGGTTGTTGATGGACCTCTATCTTATTCATTTATTTACATGTGCCGAGAATAGAACCCAGTGCTCCACACATTAGGCAAGTGTTTTACCACTGAGCCCGAGCCTCAGCCCCAGCCCATAACTAAGCTTTTTAATAGTATGGCAAACAGTTTTTTAAAATTTACATATGCAAAGCTGATAACCATGTGATATCCTACTAACATGAACCTTTCTGAATATGACATCAAAAGAAAAGGTACACTTTAAATTTGTATCATGCCTTTTTGTAACTTCCACATTTTTTGTGGACGTCTATACTGTCATTACTGTGGGTGATTTTCTCCTCTTCACAGGATCCTTTGTCCTGCAATTAGTTTAATGCAGACACAGAAGTGAGCAGCGAGACACAGTTTCCTTTCTTTCTTTTTAAGAAAAATATATTTAAAGCAGGTGTTGTATTTTAAAATTTTATATGCAAATGAAAACAAAATGATCACCAGATTCCTTAGAGATGCACATTTCTCCCCAGAGATGTTTTGTTTTAGTTTTCCTTATATTTTAAGACAGAGAGTAAGTTCTTATGGCCCATAAGTAAAAACAATGTTTTACAGTAAAAAATTTCATCAATACCTGCCAGAAACCTGATGTTCTTGCCTGTAGAACATGATATTAATTTTTGTCTAGCCTTCCAGAAATACTTTTTGCAGACATAAAAACTGGTGTTTTTCAAATTTTACATTTGATACATATTTTCTATACTTTTCTCAAGGAACAGTAGTCCTCTCATAGTATTACATGAAAAATTCTCATCATACATGTTTTATGTATGCATATTAAAATTCCATTACATAGATATGCCATAATATAGACTTCTGTTAATAGTTAACTTGTTGCCAAAAYTTTATTAGGAACAATGTTGTATCAAAGAAGCTTACATATGTCATTTTGTATGTKCGTGAATGTATTTATAGGCTAAATTCCCAGAAACTGAATTGTTGCATCAGTGTTGCATTTTGATAGATACTGTAGCCATTTTTGTTACAAAAGTTTACATTTCCTACAGCACTATATAGGAATTCCTTTTTCCTTTTACAACCTTACCAACAGAATATAATCAATTTTTTGCATCTTTGTCTATTTGACAGGTAAAGAATGGTATCTTGGTGCAGTTTTGATTAAAACATTTCCTTACTAAGTATAAGTTATATTCTTAACACACGGATCAGATTCCATTTCTGAAATTTTATAACTACTCTAACTTAGGACTTGCACCTCAAATTTAAATGTTGAGTTCAAAGAACAGAATGGATTTTCCTTGACTTTTTCCTTTTTATAGTAGAAATGGGAACCTACATCTCCCTTGGGGCTCAACTGTAGTGATGTCTCTCTGAAAATGATTAAGAACTATTTGTTTTCAGAGTATAGAAGCAGGAAGGATCTAAAATCATCTAGCTCTTGATGAGTTTACCTCCTGAGTTTACCACTACRAATTGGTCCATCCTTCTGAGCTGATAGGAAATTTTTAGAATTTGAATTAGTCTAAGTGATGTCACATCTGTGTCATATTTGAAACCCAGCAGTGTCCAGTCAGTCTATCAGAAGGAAATATTCAAGCCCCAACACAATATATTGGTTTTGTTCTATCTACAAAATTGAGTGAAAAAATGTCTTCAAAATTCCTTTATAGGAATTATTTTGTAAGAATTAATATAATATTGCYGAGCTATTAAGGACAGTGACTTCACTAGCTTACAGGTTTGCCTTGASTATTAGAATGAAGCTACTCTTTTTWWAAAATATATTTTTTACTTGTAGATGAACACAATGCCTTTGTTTTGTTTATTTTTTATTTTGTGGTGCTGAGGATTGAACCCAGTRCCCCAYACATGCTAGGCGAGCACTGCACCACTGAGCCACAACCCCAGTCCTAGAATGAAGCTACAATTGAACCCAGCTTACCTTGGATCTCTGTCATGGAAGACACTGGTCTTGTTGCCTCCTCTTTCTCACAGAGTGATTTACAGTCAAGGCCACCAGAAGCCATATTCAAAACGTCTGATCCAGAATCTACCAATAGGAAGAAACTAACAGTGTGACTCCTATGCAAAGGAAAATTTGCCTAGGCTCTTCTCATTTGCTCACATCTCAGCAGGTTTCAGAACATAAAATTATAATCCTTTTTTTTTGTTTGTTTCAGTGTCTCTTCCAAATCCACTCACCACTTGAAGTTACAGTACTCTCTGAGGAGGAAGTGTGTCCAGGCGATGGTAGTGTGAGATATTCCCTAATAAAAGGGTAGAAAAATATTTCAGTACATCAGATTCAAAGAATTCTCTTTTAAATGAGCAGAATACGCACATAAATTCACACACCCAACACCAAAAGCAAACCTGGACTGTGGCAGGTCCTCAGAACCCAAGTGTTCAACACCATTCTCCTGGAGGGAGAAAACACAGAGACACAGTTCAATGATTCAACAGTTGCCATTTCAAAAAGTATAATACTAAATTTTTTCCCCCTGATTTAAACTATATTTATGCATCTGATATTTAGGAAAATCTAAACAAATCTGGGGGCAAACAAACTTTAAATTCAAAAGTAGATAGAGTTTATTTAATGAACTTAAATTTTCTTTAAACAGAACATTCTACATGAGCATATAAAACATTTCTATTTATGGGACTATTACTCAAGCTAAAATTCTTGGCCAGGTGATAGGAATAGTTCTAATGTTTCCAGCTAGATAAACCATACATTTTAAATTTAATCATATCTCAAAGATCTGAGGGATTATATCTTAGACAACACCAGTTACCTGGYATTTTAAAAGAGCTTCACAGAACTGTGGTCCTATGCTGCCATAGCAAATWTTTGCAAGTCTCATTTGAACCTCTAAATTCTATCAAGAATTCCCAAATWGGAGGGCATTTTAGGACATTAGGGTTTGTTAGTATATTTGTTCTGTTTCAAAAAGATATATGGTGGTAACATGGCTTTCTTTTTAATAGTGAGGTAATTTAAGTTTATTTTCATTTTTATGTATTTGGAAAGCTTATAATAAATTAAAACTGATATAATTTAGGCATATCAGAAACTTGTACAGGTGATGGAAAAATGAAGATACACATCCATTTCATAATCAATCACAGAACTCATTAACTACCACAACCAACAGCAGATTTCTAGAGAGATATGCTGCATATCATATGCGGTATTTAGAATCTATTCATGAACATATTTACCATAACCACAGAAAGGTAAAGATTTAGAAAGAGCTTGCTGAATTTGTAATTTCCCAGTATAATAAACAGCAGCCTACACCTGTTGAGCACATTAAAGTTTACAAAAGTCCCCTTTTTATATCATCTTATCTAATTCTCCCCAAAACTATATGCAACAAGTTTTTGCATGTAAGGAAATCAATACCAGTGGTTAAAGCAATTTCCCAAGAATATCAGAATGGTAGAGCCAATCRTCAAACTCAGATCGAACTAAATGCAGTGTTCTCTCCATTGTAAATAAACCACTCCAAGCATACACTAACCTAACAATTTCCAACTATTGTCTTAGACTTGTAAATGATTTAAATTTAAACTTTTAAAGTGTTCACCTTAAATGCTTAGAAAAATTTACAAACTTAAAACAAGAATTTATATCTTAATGACATTCAATCTTTTGTTTTATTTAGTTCCATTACCATTTTTTAACTTTAAAAAATTTTATTCATAAATATGTTTAAGATGCACAATGTGATGCTTTGATACAGGTATACATTGTGGAATAATTAAATCAGGCTGATTASCATATTTGTCAACCCTTTGGTTCAGATCATATATTACCAAAGCCCCTATGACATCAGTTTAATTTAATTTCATGAACTTTCATCAAAAATCCAGTATGTTGTGATATATGTAAGAAATAATTAATTAATTAATTAATTAATTTTTTAAAAAAATATCCAGTGTGTACCAGGAGCAGAGACACATGGAAATATAGGCCTTTTCCTGAAGGGGCTCATAGGTCAGTCAAGGAGATGAATCTATAAAACAAATACCTTATAACTGATAAGCAGTACTTCACAGAGGAAGGCCATATGCAAAGAACAGAATTCATAAAGTGGAGTGATATTGGAATTAAATTTTGAAGAGAAATTGTATCTTATTACCTGTAGGTAGGAAACTGCCTTGTCTTTATATTTTTAAAATACATTATAGTAGTAATTATTATATGCTTATTTACCTAAACTTCAATATATCTGAAATAAAGCTATAAAAACTGGATAAAATTAAATATCTTTAAGTTTCATTGGGTATTGAACTTCATAAAAAATCAATTGCATTTCTTAATAAAAAATCAAGTCCATTGRACATTCCACAAAATATAAAACATGGTTACTATGCATGGACTGAAATACTATTATTACACTATAACTAAAAGCTATCAGAAAAGATTTCATCTTGTACTTAYCAGGTTCATGGATAGTCATATTTGAACTTAAGAAGTGGGAAAGAGAATTCAGTTATCATTGTCATTTCACTAAGCTGGTTTCCAAAATAGAGGAAAATGAAACATAATTTTTTGTAAAACTTTTATAAAATGAGCTTAATATTATCCTATTTAAGGTCAAAACAATAACCATAGCAAAAACCTAGTGGGCCTCCATTATGTTACAAGTGAGTCTCATTTGCCATCATGCCATTCTTATGGCCTCTTTTTTCTATATCTTACAATGAAGCATTTTATGGAGAAGAGGTTTGATAAATGTGAAATATTTACTGACTAAACAAATAATAATATGATTCTGAAGACACCTCATACATATATCTCTTCATTTCCCTGGAGTAGTTACAAGGTAAGCAGGTGGATATTACTCCCAAWTCATGAAACTTTGTAAGTCTTAGTGATCAGAAAACAACCCCACAGACAACATATCTTAATTCTAACTTCATAAATTCGTTCTAACAACACTATTTTCTTCTTTCAAGAATAACTAGCGAAAAGGAAGTTTCAAATTTTGTTTCAAACTTAGGATCTAGTTAGTGAAAGTTGTAGATATAATACTCAAAGTTTCTTGCATGGGGTTGGGGGTAGGCTAATCAACAAAAACTTTCCACAGTGGGATCTCTTCTTCTAGCATCAAAAGTTACCCTCTTCAAACCAGCATCCCAACCAAGCCTGCTGAAGCATCTATTCACACACACCAACTTTGAGACCTGCAGAGATTGAAAGAGATAGTCTGTAAAACCCACAGAAATCCAAGAAATTGATGAAGACAGCTCAGATGAGAGACTTACATGTGGAAGGTTGGCTCAAGTCAATGAATCTAACACATGCTGACAGCACAGCAGGAAGAATGCCCTTCCCATCCAAGCCATTCAAATATTAACCTGAATAACATTTACATGGAAACCCACAGTCCAGCCCATCTGCTCTTGACAACAAGAGCTTAATATAGGGTGGAGTAGCCAAGCACTCATGGAACAAAGTGAGATAGATTCTCCCATGGGCTGGGTCAGCAAACACAAGCCTCTTTCATTCATACACACACATTTGCATACACACACACACACACACACACACACACACACACACGATTACTTTAATAGAAAAATACAAAGAAATACTAAGAAATAAGAGATTTGTAATAACAATTAATAAGCCTAGATAATCTTCCAGGACTACTACATTAAATGCTGCTTTATAGATTTTATGATCAGAAATCTTTGTGCTAATAAAAATTTATGTTACCCATATAATTTTTACTATTGGGTCTCTTTGGACAGTTGATGCTGGTCAAATAGATTAACATGGGAACAACAACAACAAAAAATGAAACAAGAATCTATTTAGACTTACTCCAAACTGTACTTATGTACATTTAAATGTTCTGAAAAGAGGAAGAATGTTAAATAGAACTTTAAAAGWTTAGAACCCCTGAGGCTGAGGTTGTGGCTCAGTGCTAGAGTGCTTGCMCAGCATGTGTGAGGCACTGGGTTCGATTCTCAGCACCACATATAAATTAATAAATAAATAAAGGTCCATCAACAACTAAAAATGTTTAAAAAATAATAAAAATAAAAATAAATTATTAGAAACCCTGGAACATAAACAAAACTAAATTTCCTCATAGTTTTTTTTTCCTCGCAATTTCTAAGTAAAAGAACACCACACCCTAAGATCTACAGGACACACCTACCATGGTGAGGCTCATTTATAATCAGTTATCAGTCAATATCTCCCGTCCCAATTTTGCAACTGGCAATGGTATTTATTCTCCAAGGTTATTAATGCAGCACCTACACATAGCTTGAAAGAACAGGACAATGGCCAGAAAGTCTTCAGAGGTTATTTTTAAATTGATCCTGAGGTTTGACTCAATAAATCATCTTCTCCCAGTGATAGTGTATCTTACACAAAAACATGCAATGACATGAAGAAGAACCTTAAAAGGAGGGAAGACACTTAATATGTGATCTTTTTTTTAAAGTTTGAACAGCCACAAGGAAACATAGAGAAATTCATCTCGAGATCCCTGACCTGTTATAAGGCATCCTCTGATTATCAGCAGTTCCACACTGCTGATAATTCTCACTCTAGGTAATACTACCGTTACTATTTTGAGTATGTACTATGAAGCAGGATTTCACAAAATATTTTGGTGGAGGCAGATCAGACAGAAGAATCAGTTTTGATGCCATAGAATTTTTGTAGAACTTAATTCTTAGAGTATTTAGGGAAACATACAAGTAGGTAACTACCTGTTTTGCAAAGGGCCAGAAAGCCTTTGGTAGCTCTTCAGATGTAAAGATAAGAGCAACCACTAAGAGAAGGTAGACAGGCTAAGGACCTAGAGGGAAATGACCCAGAGTGGGGAAGAATCAAGGAAGTGTATCTAGCTACTGAAAGAAGCAGTAACACTAGACTCAGTAGGAAACTGTGGTACTGGCCACCCTGTCTCCCAGCCCTGCTAGACTGTGTCTTGAAATGTAGAGGATAGTTTTCACAACTACCCCAATAGGATCCTACCAACACCACACCACCCTGGGAGCCCTCTCTGAAAGCACTGGAACAAGAAGGCAGAGTTGCCTCTGCACTGACCAAGGAAAGAAGGTGGGATCACCAGAGGTCCAGATGCAGAGCTCCATGGAGGTCTACGGTGTTGCAGGCAGGGCTCTGGGCAGAGAACAAAAAGGGCAGCAGACACCAAGATGATGAGACCAACTTCACTGCCCCACAACTTCTCGAGAAGCTAAACATCCACCTGGAACCCACTAGTGGATGAGGCCTAAAGAACATGAATATATACTAGAATACAYCTCTGGTGATTCTTAGAAATGTTTGAATGCTGGGAAGGCACCCAGTGAAAAAGGAAAGGCTTTTCTATTTATCAGCAAGTGGGAAAATAGGTCATTAAAAGGCACTATCTTCCTGTAAACATGACCTACTTGGTTTGTTTCCAACTGATTAGGCTAAAACTTGGCTGTGAAAATGCATATGTGTTGATGTATATATAGCATGTGTTTATGTGTGTATGTGTGTTATATCCATGTGTACTGAACTACTCAAAAGCAAAGTAATCTCTCTGTTCCACAGGGGTCACAGCAATTTTAGACAGGTTAGGCCACTTATCTAAGTTCACATATTAAGTATTGCAGCCCATCTTAAATATGGCCTGCCTGATTCCAAAGCCTATACTATGGGGACAAAATTTGCAAGGCATTACTAAAATAAGTTTCAAATAAATACAAAAGTAGACAGTAGAACTAACTTTTATATGCTTGGGATGTGGCTTCAACAATGATCACCTGGAATGGATGTTGTTTCATCCATTCTTTTACCCTCTAAACCTATGTTTTTAGAAGCAATCCTAGATATCATCACATGTCATCTGAAAGTATTTAAGTATGAATCCTAAAAGATGAAGACAGTAAGTAATTTATTTCCTTCTCTCCTAGGTACACCAACATGCCACCAATAAAATAATTTACTGGGTCAATAAAGAAGATTCATTCTYCTTAAGAACATTCCAAACAGGTCTCCAAATTATTTTCCTATGAGATATTTTTTTGAGACATTAATCTTGATAGAGTCCTTTGCTCAAAGACCCTCTCATAAATACCAATCAATGTTCACTTTTTCTTACATTCCCTGTGAGAAAGATGCTATATTTATTTTCTGCCCCCCCCCAATTCATGGAGAAAATGAATGGGGGGGGGGCAGAAAATAAATCTCAAGCCCTTAGGAACACCAGTCCAAAGAAAGAAGCTTCTGAGTATCATCCTCAGTGTTCTAAGTAGAACCTGAAGTGACTGCAAAACAAATAAGAATTCAACAAATATTAATGGGCGGCTACTGTGCACCCATCCATGCAGAGTACTAGAAACATTTTGGCTAGTGATCAGGTAAGGGCATTCTCCACCAGGCTTATCAGCTAACACAGGGTAGGATGTAAAAAATGAATACCCACAATGCAACCAGGAGACAGGTAGCAAAAAGGGAAGGCAGAGAGTTCCTGGGGTCTCAAAGAAGGAAGTTAAATAGTTAAGGAATGAGGAAGCTGAAGCATCAAAACATGATATTTCCAGAACCACATACAAGCTGATTGGGGGGGAAACCTGATTTCTCAAACTCCAATCTATTATGATTTTCACCTCAAAAAGAACTGGAAGACACTGGGTTTGATTCTGAGTACCACATATAAATAAAATAAAAGTCCATTGACAACTAAAAAAAAATATATTAAAAAAAAAAGAACTGGAGATACTTGACTGCCAACATTTTATACTACCATAAAAGGATTTATGAAACAGTAGATTTTTGAAATGGACCTTGATAGTTAAATAAAATTTTGACAAATGGAGAAGTGTACAACGTTCTGAGCAAAGAAAACACCCCAAGCAGGTTTGGAGTGATTTATTCTGACAGTAGATACTACCTGTTTGGCTGAAATAGGGACAATAGCAGGACAGTGCCATGGAAATGAAGGCAGAAAGCTAGGCTGTGACCAGGCCAAAGAAGGATTTGAACACAAGGTCAAGCTGCTTTCATGAGGATGTAGGGACTGGCAAAGATCATCATTTAAAGCCAAGGTGTTTAAAACAACAACAACAACAACAACAAGCCATCAGTTTGTATATGCTGGAATGAGCATGGTTTATGGTATTTTGATGTTTTATATTATTCTAATTCCCTCTACATTCTATTAAAAATGCTTAGAAACAAAGCTTATTATTTGTTTAGAGATGGGGTGGGGGCTGAAGGAGACCAGTGAGGGTTGGAGAGCACAGTCATGAGGCTGCACAGATCCTGCAGGGGGCAGAAACCTGGAATGGGACTATGGAGAATCAGTGGTTTCAGCCACAAAGTAAAACCAACAGACTCATTCTTGAGACTATAGAAAGAACACAGGAAAGCAAGAACTTTCAGGGAATCTATTTATCACCCTGAGTGCATTTGACAGGAGTTTCTTTGTGATCCAGATCTTTCCTAATTCTTAATGGGTGTCAAGACCATACACAAAACAACTTCATCACCTCTCCCAATGAGTGGATTAGGAGGTCCTTTTAGATTCATAAGGCAGCACATTTCTTAGCCAAAAAACCAAAACAAATAAACAAAAAACCCACTTTCAAGGTAACTACAGTGATTATTATGTCTCAAATGTCTAAATTCAGAGGGGTTGTGAAAAGGACAAGTCCTTTTGAAGCTAGACAAACCTGAACTTGAAATCTAGGTTTGCTGCTTATTAGTCAAGTGATGTTGGGCAAGTTAGATAACTCCCTCAAAGTCAGGTGTCTCCTTTGTAAAAAAAACAGAGAATACCTGCCACTCAAGGTTGTGAGGAACATTAATAATATGGCACACAGAAATGCTTTCCTACAAAGTGCCTGGTACACAACTGATATTTGTTTCTTCTCCCTTCTTAGTGAAATTGGTGCCAGATAAAAGGGAAATTACTAATAACTGAACATCCTGTAAGCTCCTAAACTCAACTTCCGTTATTAAAGCTTCATAAGAACTACCAAGTAATAGCAAAATAGATTTGTTTTCTTCTTAGTTGCTCAATAAGGCAGGTACTAATGATCAGGGGAAAAATGTCAGATGCATACACTTCAAAGGAGCAAGAATGACTCGCACAACTTAGTGGTAAAAATCTTTTAAATGGGCACGGGATCGGAATGGAAGTATCTCCAAATTATACAAATGACCAACAAACATATGCAAACATGCTCAACATCATTAATCACTAGAAAAATACAAACCAAATCCATTGAGATACCTCTTTGCATTCAGTGATGGCTGTAAACAAAAAGGGAGTTTTGGTGAAGTGCAGAGAAATTAGAATCTGCCAGATATCACTGTGGGAATATAAAATGGTGCCACCACTGTAGAAACCCATCCGTTAGTCCCTCAAAATATTAAACAGAGTGACCATCTGAGGCAGTAATTTCTACTGATAGAAATATACCAAAATAATTAAAAACCTACATTTACACTAAAACTTATACACTAATGTTCATTGTGACATTGTTTGCAGCAGCCAGTCAAAAAACTCAAATGCCCATAAACTGTTAGATAAACAAAATGGGATATCCAACACAATATTATTCCACCATAAATGGAAGTACTACTAATAAAATACATACTACAATATGGATGAACCTTGAAAACCTTAACGATAATTGAAAGAAGACAGGCACAGGAGGGTATATATATGGTTTTATTCAACTTAAGATAAGATATCCARAATAGGCAAATCTATGCAGAATGTAGATTAATGCCTAGAGCTGAGTGTTTAGAGGAAGGGGAAATTGCAAAAGGGTATTGGGGTTTCTCTTGGAGGTGATTCCAATGTTTTAAAATAGGTGATGGTGATAGTTAAAGCCAGTTAATTGAACAATTTAAATTAATGAATTATATGATGTATGAATTTTATATGTATATATATAATTATATATTTATATATATAAAATTATATATATATATATATACACACACATAAAGTGTGTGTGTGTGTGTGTGTGTGTGCGCGCGATGAATGGCCAGATCCTAAAGATGAACTGTCTGCTCCATTTGACTGAACTCACTGGGCCCACGCTCAGGCTACAGACTAGGAAGGAACTCTAACCACCTCCATAGTCCTTCTCAAGTTGTTTCACGTTATCCTCTTCTTGGGTAAAAAAGCAGCATTACTGCCTGACATTGGTTGTGAATATGCTAAGATCATGGCCTTACTCTGTGGTCTTTAATAAAGAGCCAATTCCTCAAAGATTGCCTAGCTTTGATTTCAGTTCTTAGAGAATCAATGTGATCTGATAATACTTACAGTCAATAGTGAGTTTAAGTCCCAAACCAGCCTGCCTCCTAAACACAAATTTCATTGTACTTTGTCAAAATCTCCCTCTGGTTATATAACCCAAATTTCATACTACATGGGGAGTAGAAAGTCCACAAATACTGAGCTTTATTTTTTTWAAATATTTTTTGGTTGTTGATGGACACAATATCTTTATTTATTTATTTTCATGTGGTGCTGAGGATCAAACCCAGTCCTCACGCGTGTAAGGCAGGCACTCTACCACTGAGCTACAGCCCCAGTCCCTGAGCTTTAATTTTATCACTTCAGAAGTTGATATTTCTAATTCATCTGAGGTCTGTATTATCAGATTCATACTTGCTGTACTAGGAGCCATGACATTTTTAAAAGGAAAGAAGAAAGAATACTCAAAGAACAGGACCAGCATATGACAATACTGAAGATGAAATTGTAAACTGCCACAGCACTCACTTCCATACTTAGGTTGTCATTCATCTCGATGTAACCCGAAAGATCTGCTCCTGGGTCTGGACCACCTACAGGAYACCTGGCAGTGGAAAGTAGAGCCATTTACTACAAGTAGAAAAACTGAAAATTTTAGCAGATACCCAATTATGACACAGTTCCCACGACCCCACACCCAGTCTATCAAATTTCTAATTAAATTCCTGGCTTCATTAAGACATAATGAAAGATAGCTTCCACCTTCATCAGAGAGAAGTTACAGACAACAGAAAAGCCAGCCAAAAATGAAAATAAAGAATTTGCAATTCAAAGTCTGGCTTCCTTACCCTTAATACAGAAAGGAAATTTCACCAGGGTAGAGAGTCCTCACAAACTCCACTAACATGTCTGCATTTTTCCTAAAGAAGATCAGTTTGCATACTTAAAAAGATAGATGAGCATAAATAAGCATCAAAAGAGAATGGGGGGAGGGGCGAGCAGAGACAGGTTTCCAAAGGCTTGTTAACCTTAAGTGTGAAAGGAATAGAATTAAAATCCAAACTCATCTAAATTAACCTAGTAGTATGTACTTAGTATATGCCCCCAAACTAGGGTAACTGAATTGGTCTCTTAAGATTTTAGAATGACTATCATAAAATTCAAAAGCAGTGTCTTTATTTTACAACTGTAAATTTTCAGAAAGTTAGAGAGTTCCACAATAAAGATGTTATAATCTCAGGGTATGAAAATCTAACCAATTAAAATGTTAGGCAGTGGGAATAGGCTACCCATAAAGAKTAGGCTAATTGAAGCAGCAAGTCCTTCCTGAGATGTTTCTTTTTCCTTTTTCCTGTTAGTAGCTGCAACCTACTAGTTTCTGCTTCTGCAGTCATGCTTGCTCAGCAGCTGTGGCAGGAATCAAATCTGCCTGGAGAGAGAAAAAGGGACCCAGGCTACTTATATGAGAAGTCTTGAAACCTGGAGGTCTGTGTTGATACTGAGAACAAAGGGCTGTGCTCAGCCTTTGGAGAAGACTGCTGAGCCCACATCAGTGCTGAATAAACCTTGCTCTTCTGAATCTCCTATTGCTGYCTCTCTCTTTCCATTGCCATAATTTTCCTTATTTTTTCATAACAAAGTAAATTGTCCTCTTTTAACTTACTTGTGTTGTCTCGTCACATCCAAAGCACCATCCTTTATTTCTCCATATTTGGATCTTTCACTTGAAGCCTCAGTTGGGTTGGCTACACATAAGGAAGATGTCAACTGTGGCCTTGGAATCACTGTAAGACTATCCAGAGACAAGGCATCTGTAGTAGAACAGAAAGGAATAAAAATAGAGATTAACTTCTGGTTCATACCACATTAAAGAATAAACTATCCTCCCTAAAGACTTGATTGGCAGAACTATTTATGTGAAAGCAAAAGCCAACCCAATTCTATTAGCACTTTAACAAATGCCCAAGATGCTGGGTTACWTGGGGGTGGAAATACCAAATGTTTATTTAAAAAGAGAAAAAAAAAAGGTGAGGCGTGGAAGACAGATAATCTTGGTCTCCTAAACAACTAGAGGGCCAATATTCTTCAGCCAGCAGGCAAAATCCAGCCAGCTGCCTGTTTTATATATATATTATATATATTTATTTATATAAATATAATATATATATAAATATAATATATATATTTAGTTGTTAATGGACCTTTATTTTATTTATTTATATGTGGTGCTGAGAAATGAACCCAGTGCCTTCACATGCTAGGAGGTACTCTACCACTGAGCCACCCCCCTAGCCCCAGCTGCCTGTTTTTGTAAATAAAGTTTTACTAGAATATAGCCACACCTATCCACATACATCTCCATGACTGTTTGTGTGCTACAAGAATAAAGTTGAATAGTTGTAACAAAAATTGTACGGCCTGAAAGTCCTAAAATATTTACTATCTGACCCTTTCCTGAACAACTTTGCAGAAAAATATCAAACATTGTGATTAGATTTCATCAAAACATCCCTCAAAGAATGACACACCAGTCTTTTGGGGAAACCATCTTTTTAGGTGGGTATAGGATGCAGCAGTTTAAAGGAAAACACAAAGGCTATGGAGTCAAGCACAATTTTTTAGTTCTGATTTTGGATCTGCTAAATGCCAGTTGTGTCACCTTGGGTAAATATCTCTGTCACTCTGAGGCTTAGTTTATGTTTCTATAGAATGATACTTGGCCTTGGGTATCTGTTTCCTGGTCTTTAAAATTGGGAGTTACAGAGGGGTGGGTACAGTAGTAGAGTGCTGGCCTAGTATGCACCAGGACCTGGATTCCTCCCCAGCACAGCAAAAATAAATAAAACAAAATGGGAATCACATTAGCATCTGCACTCTTAGGCTGTGGTGAGGACTAAATGAGTTTACAGATATGTTACCCACAGCAAGTATTCTTTAAGTGCTGACTTATTGTTGGGTGTGGTTATCTCTGAGTTATCAAGAATGAAATAATCTATAAAATTCTAGTGCCTGACACAAAATGAAAATTTTGTAAATTTTGAAAATGAAAATTTTGTAAAATTTTGAAAATGAAAATTCCATCCGTGGTGGTAGCAGTTTCTCCTTTTGTAGTTCAATGATCCACAAACCACCATCTTTCTTAAATTTATTTGATGAGCATACCATTTTTATTATCATTCCAGAACCAGCATGAACTTCTGCTTTTGACTGCATCTGGGTTTTGTGGAGCATCTCCGAGGTTAGGGCTCTTTCTCCTCGTCCTGGCATTCAGTAACAGTTCACAACTGGATCCTCAACTTGCTTTTGCTTCAAACTTCCTTCTGCATCTCCACCAAAACCCTCTTGTTTCCACAATGAGCTTTGCCTCTTCTTCAAACWCAAGGCTTTTGTGTTCTTCTCTTTTTATTCTGTTTCATCTGTCCATGTCATTCTCATCCATCAAAATACTTTTTTTCACACTTTTCACCAAACCCAACCCATCCCTCAAAGCCTGGTTCAACACTCCCCTCTTCTGTGGGRTACTCTCTTACTTCTCATCTCTGAGTCTAGGTCTTGTCTCCCACTAATCTGTAGGCTATTTGAGGACTGGGAATGGAACTCAGGGGCACTTAACTACTGAGCCACATCCCCATTCCCCTTTTGTATTTTGTTAGAGACAGGGTCTCATGGAGTTGCTTAGGCCTTGCTAAGTTGCTGAGTTTGAATTTGAATTTGTGATCCTCCTGCCTCAGCCTCCCAAGCTGCTGGGTTTATAGGCATGAAACACCAAACCCAGCACTTATTCTTTATTATACATAATATGTTGCCTTGCACAGAATAGGTACTCAAATACATACTGATTGACTGACTGAACCAAGAAATAAATACCCAAATGTTCAACAATTCTTCCTATACAAATAAAATTGTAATGAATTATTTGCCCTTTGAAAAAGAATTCCTCTCTCAATACAATCCCTCCCCCCACCCAAGCATATCTCAGCTGGTACTGGAGGAGGGGCAACCCAAGCTCACCCAGAAGAGGCGTATACCAGCATGTGTTTTTCAAGGTCAGGGGTATGTGATGAATTCTTGCCTCTTGACTACTGTGTGGTTTGTGGTAACACTGCTTCTGAATGGAAAACCAAGTATTATTAGCTGTCTAACGGAATATAACATAAAACATTTTCTAATATACTTTATCTTCCAAAGCAGAAAGAATATCACTGGTCTCAAATGGTCCTGTGAGAGAAGTCAGAAAGAAAATGAATGATGTCAAGTGAAAAAGCTTTTATGCTTTTTGATCAAAAGATATACATTATGAGTAAATTAGAACACTCATTCAAAAATCACAGTTCAGTAATCTAACATAATACTCGCATCACCAACTCCAAATAAATAGTTTACACTTTGATATAAATAAAGCCTCTGAGGGAAGAGTTAAGCATGAGGGACAAGCCAAAGTAACTCCTTGTAATACCACAGTCAAAAAATTTAAAATATTAGTACTTCTTGGACCAACCAAAAGATACTATGTGTATGAGAGGGGGAAAAAAAATATATTTTAAAGAAAAGTATTGTGTTTGGAATCCTTGGGCTATGCATATATACTGAACTCAACTTTTTATTTTACCATAGCAACTGATCCATGTTTGCTACCTAAATAATTTCAGAAAGCTTACGCTTACCAATTTTTCTTGAAGAGATGGTTGAATTTTCTCTGGGCAGGACGGGGGATCATCGTGAGAAAATTCCTCATCTAAAAACCTCTGTAATCAGAAAATGGCAAAGTGTATTGAAAGATGAAATGTAGAAAGGGTCCAAGATGCAAAGCCCAGCAGAGGTGGGTGCCCTCTACTTCAGGGAACCTATTTGTCACTGCAAATGGGTATTTTACCCATTCATTGATCTAGGAGTAAAACTCAAAGATCAGAAACCAGGAATTGAATGGCTTTGTCACTGAAATTAGGCAGAAGCCAAGGAAGCTTTTTAGACATAACTTGGAGTAGTAAAATGGTGTTAGGAAAATTTTATAGTAATAAAATTGTGGTCTTAATCCAAGAGGCAGATGCATATTTATGGGAGTGACATTACAATAGACAATTTTATTGGTGTTCTTGAGATGRTTAAGAATTCTTTAGATATGGAGATTTTTTTTTTTCCTGCTAAACAGGGGCTTTTCAGGCACTCTGCCTAGACTTTCTATGTGAATTTTTTTTTTTTTTTCTGCTTAAACAGATGTTGTCTACATTATGCCCTGGAAAGAGATACCAGCAAATATCACTCTTCTTCCCTCTTTCATCTCCTTGCTCCAGTGCCAATCTCTCTGTTCCCTATGTTCTTCATTTATGAACCAAAAAGGAGATTCACCAAGCATCATAAGGGAAATAAATATATTCAGCTCTACCATGGATTTCTTGAGATATCCAGACAGAAAGGTATTGAAAGCTTAATACTTATAATATTATAAGTTTTGGTACTCAATACTTTGGTACTTAATACTTATAATATTATAAGTTTTGGTACTCAAAACTTTTAGCATATGGTTTTAAATTGAAAAATACACCCTTCCTATCAGATAGGAGGTGCCTACAAAACTGGCTCTCTGCTAACAGATGCAGTGGCTGGGCAAATTCTGAAATGCTTCCTCTTTGGGAGATGCTATCAGGAGCCACTCACTGATGTGAGTTCTCCCCTCGTTTTCCTAAACACTTTCTGTGAACAAGAGAACAAAGTCTACCAAAGTCTTTTCTTTTAAGTTGGTTATTTAATTTAATGGTTAAAACCACTCCATATTCTACATTAATTTCAAAACCTAATACAAGTTATAAATCTTCCCCACATATCACACAGGTTTTGTTTGTTTGTTTGTTTGATTTTTACCTGAAACAGAAAGCCATGGTGTTGTCCTTCAGTTAACTGCTTTCGAAGTACCTCAATAGTTGCTATGAAGAGAATTTACAACCAGTTCAATATGACCATTTTAAATCCCCTTCCCATCATTTATTTCATCGCTTTATAAAATTGTAATGGCTTTGCATTTGGAATCTGAAGGAAAGAAGACGACAACTGACTTCTGAGAATGGCATTGGCCCCTTAAGACTTAGGGACAGAGAAACAGGCTGTGGCAGCTCCACCATTCTCCCCCTTAGGTATTTAAAACTAACCTTGATAGACACAAGTGATCTGCCTCCTTGAAGTGAGTCACAGAATTTATTCAATCTTAAAACAAGAATACAAGGGCTGGGGATGTAGGTCAGGTCAGTGGCAGAGCTCTTGACTAGCAGGTGCCAGGCCCTGGATTCAGTCCCCAACACCACAAAACAAGAAAAACACCTTAGTGAGTCATTCAGGCCAACCTCCCACCATACAGGAATCTGGTGTCCATTAAAGCCTCTGTTTGAACCCTAGAATTAGGGCCCTACAACCTCAGAATTTTATAAATTAAACTGAGAGCACGAGAACACTGACATCCAGAGGACTGAGATGAGTGACAAGCAATAGACCCAAGTTCAGATCCACAGGACAACAGTGGATCCAGTGTGCTATCCCATGACGTTAGAAACATGTGCTTTAACTAAAATCTGCTGCCCAGTAAGTTTTCAAAGTCTTATCTCTCAAATCATGGAAATGGGGGTGGGTGGTGGTGGATATAGCTATTTAAGTTAATAGTAACATACTGGGCTGGGGATGTGGCTCAAGCGGTAGCRCGCTCGCCTRGCATGCGTGYGGCCCGGGTTCGATCCTCAGCACCACATACCAACAAAGATGTTGTGTCCGCCGAGAACTAAAAAATAAATATTAAAAATTCTCTCTCTCTCTTTCTCTCTCTCTSCTCTCTCACTCTCTCTTTAAAAAAAAATAGTAACATACTTATTTGACAATCCATACTCTAAAATATAGCTAAGAATGAGAAAATAGACCACATCTTTCAACAACCAAAATAGACACTGATATTCATGCCCTTTACTCACGTGGAAAATCTCACACATCACCAACACTGGGCTCTGAATTTATACATTATTCTCACAAGCTCGGCTGCTTTCTCAGCCCACAGAAGATTCAAAGCAAAAATTAAACAAGGGGATGGAGCTCTGCTAGATGGAAGCATATTAATAGCTACCACTATTTTTTTTTAAAAATCCCTAAGAGTCAGGAAAATTATTAACAGCAGATCTTCTGGTGTCCAAAACACACAGCAATCTGGTACTGCTTGTTTTATAGACCCACAGTTTTATATCTCAAAAACCTGAAAAAATTCTGAGCAATGAAAATATTAGTAATATGTATAAAAATTCTATATAAAATCTTCAATTATATAGAATATTACCTATGTAAAAAATATATTTTATGCAAACTTTTTTGTAAAAATAGTTTATTTTTCAACTAAACTGCATAGTACCAAGTATCTCCTCGGCCAGTAAGATTTTTAATATTTATTTTTTTTAATTGTAGTTGGACACAATACCTTTATTTTATTTATTTTTATATGTTGCTGAGGATTGAACCCAGGGCCTCACATGTGCTAGGACAGCACTCTACCACTGAGCCACAACCCCAGCCCACAATACCATTTTTTTTTTTTTTTTAATTTCAAGCCAAGCGCAGTGGCACATACCTATAATCCCAGAGGCTTGGGAGGCTGAGACAGGAAGATCATAAGTTCAAAGCCAGCCTCAGCAATGATGAGGCACTAAGCAACTCAGTGAGAAGCTGTCTCTAAATAAAATACAAAAATATAGCTGGAGATGTGACTCAGGGATTGAGTGTCCCTGAGTTTGATCACCAGTACTCAAAAGAATAAAATTAAAACTATTTCAAACTTATAAAAGGATTAAAATTTTTTCTCTTTAATACTTAGAACTCATGAGTTATTTTTTTTTTAAAAAAATCAATGTCTAAGAAATAAGACCCTGTGTTCCTCCTGACCTATATTCAAAAGAGCAACAAAGCTTGCAGAAGTGGCCATCATGTTTTTGAGGGTTGTGTATCACTAAAACACAAATTCAGAATTCTGTCTTAGAATTATCAAACTAAGTTTGTGCTTCAGAAGAAATAATGAGTTAGTACAGCACTGTCTAAATTACCCATCTGCTTTCCCACCAGGCAATCTTGGGTTTTAGAAAGAGTCTATCTCAAAGCATTCAAATTAAAAACCTTTTTTCAACAGATGTTTTGTGCAATAAGTAGCAACTATTTCCATATTTTCCATATGGCAAAACAAGCTGGTTTATGACCCCAATTTGCATTCACCTTTGCATTCCTCTGTTTGAAGTGCGACTCGCCATGTCTCTAGGACATTTAGGCTGCACATAAGAACAAATAAAGCAATGACCACTGCATCCCCTGCAGCTGCCACCTGTGATTATAAGATGGGACCAGGTGTCCTGGTGAGTTGCTTCTGAAGGAAGCTGAGATAAAGCAACTTTCTAAATGACTATGCAATGGAGCTTTTAGGCAAAGGCCCTACAATTAATTGACTGTTGAAAATTAAAGCTGTAACATTGTTAGAGCTATAATAATGTTAGTTATCAATGATGCTTCACATTTATGGAATATGGACTTCTATAACACAGTATATAGCTTACTGAAAAAAAACCTCATGTTCTGTAAAATTGTGCATTAAAAATGTCAGGATTCATTAACCACAGACTATGAGAAACTACAAGGACAATGAACCTGATTTTAAAACGGGCAAAAAACATAGGCACTTCACAAAGAAGATACATAATGGCCATTCAGTACACAAAAATGTGCTCGACATCATTAGTCCTCTAAAAGATTAAAATTACAATGAGATGTCAGCAGAGTCGCCAAAATAAAAATTGACACTATCAAATACTGAAGATGTGGAACTTCCATACGGTGCTGGGGGAGTGTAGAATGCCCAACACCATGGAAAAGTGGTAGTGTCTTTGAAATTTAGAGCCACAACCGTGCTATGACGTAACAATTCTGTTCCTCGGTATTTATTCTAGATGAAATAGGAACTTATGTCCACACACAGATCTGTGCACAGATGTTCAAGGCAGCTTTATCCATTATAACTTAAAATGGGAGATACTTCAGAGGTCCAGTAATAGGAGAAAAGAATCAAATTACCTTTTATCTCAATAAAAAAATTACCTCAATAAAAAAATTACTGGGAAATAAAACAAGTGAATCTCAAAATATTATGCTGAGGAAGAGACACCAAAGAGTACATATGGTATAACTCAATTCTAGAACATGCCAACAACCCTAACCATATCAGTGGCTGCTCCTTGTGGTGGAGGTGGGGGAGGAGCATTCAACTGGGAAGTAGCTCAAGGGAGATTTCTGACAGAAGTTCTGTGTTTTGATGTGCTTTCCTGAGGCTGGTGGGACAGTGAACTTAACGTCTGAAAACACTTGAAAATTACAACAAAAATAACAGGGTTTATAAGGTAAACAGGGTTAGGAAGAAACCACTAAAAAACATATGCAACATTGTCACCAGAGTCTAGTAAATACAATCATTAAATTATTAGTACCCAGGAAGAGTACATGGATCACCCAGACATGCATCTCAGAAGGCCTCACAGAGATTAGAAATGCACAAATACAACAGAGCAGGAACCTTTAAATGGCACAACGCTGGTTGGGTGCTAAGAAAACCGCAGGTGGAAGTGGAACTCTCACACAGCAGGGAGAACAAGGAGAACAAGCCATCTGCCATGCACAGAGCTCTGCAAGGCTGGGGTTGAGCCTCTCTAGGGGGTGGGGGAGGCCCAGGTGCAAACACTTGTTTTGAATTTTCACAAAATAAAGCTGAAAGTGCTCCTGGTGCCCATTTGGCAGCCAAGCTAAGGGGTATTTTCCTTTCTTGCAGAGGTGATTGATCATTCTGTGCCTTCCAACCCAGATCCTATTTCCAAGAAGACAGTGAATGAAACAATAGAAATCCCCTCTTACACTAACATGATATTCAGCATTAACCAATAATCACAGAAGAGGTAATGCTCTGCATAGCGTATACCAACTCTGGGCAAGTGCTAGCCACCATACTGAACTTGCAGTTCTCAACTACATTGGTGGAAAAGGACGCTGAGACACAGAGAGGTAAAGTGACTGGCCCAACTTCACCTGGCAACGCTTTATGTAGAGTTTGAGTCAGGACAAAGGYTGGTTTAACTTCAAATCCCAGGCTCTTAAACTATTACACCACACTTCCTGGATTATTTCATGCATACCTACCTTTTTCATTGGGAAAATTTGGGCCCCTATCTCATCAAAGCAGTTGAAACAGCTATAATTGGCTCTGGTGTCCTCCTCAGACTTATCCTGACACCTGCTGTCTTTAACTGTGTCAGTCACCCAGGTCCCCCTTTGTCTCAATTCCCTCTTCTTTGTTTGCTCAGGACACATGACTGTCATCTTGCATCTATCCTCTAAACAGTAAAGTTCATGTGCAAATCATATGTTCAAATGAAAAATTATGAAACATATAAGCATCTTGGGATCTCTCCACAAGGAAATATTTATGGTTCCTAAAGGTAATTCCCTCATCTTCTATTACATGAGTGACTCAATGAAGACTTCATGTTAGATACAATAAGAGATGGCAAATAGTAAAGGGATGATGGCTTGGATTAGATCAACTAGTCTGTTTCCTGTAGATAAGAAGTGCCTCAATGTGTTGTATGCATACCCTAGATCGAGAAACTTTTTAGATTCCCTTTTTAAAGGAAACCTGCCATTATAATCCAGTATTGCCTACATTAACAAGATAACTTAGGTATGAAGAAAGTAAACATAAAAGTAACCACTCAAGACATTTAATCATTCGAATGGCACACACACACTTCATGGAGGTGAGCAAGCACGCTGACCACTTCAAAACTCAGATCAGTCCTCGTGACAGTGAAAAACTTATACAGTACTATTTAGTCAACCCTCAGTTCAGAATTTTTAATCCAATGTCATAAACACCATCTCACTTCTAGTTTGTACACCTTGTGAYTGGCCTGAACATTTGGACAAATGAACTTGATCCACAATTTGCTGAAGAAGATTCATGGATCAGAAAGCAATGGTTATAAACACTTTGTTTTTTAAAACTAGCCAGAGAGTTTCAGAAAAGCTAAGTAGGTTGAAATATTTTTCTTTTCTGACTCAGAATTAAAATGTCTGATTCAGAACTGAAGTAGCATGGGGTGGCAGTGGTTGTGGTGAACTGCACTTGGATGCATTTGTGATAACTGTCCCACCTCTGCTGTCCCTAGTCTATTGAGAATATGTGCCATACAGAGCAGTTTGAAAGCATGTGCTATCTAAATTTCCCTCTTCTCCCAAAGGATGACTTTTAAGGGATTAGAAAAAAACTTCATGTAAGGAAATGATCTTAGGAGCAAACTCCTGATGTGTATGCCTTCTTTGGACAGGAAAAAATCCAAACAAGTAAGGGATTTCAAAAATCCAGGCAGTTTATGATCAACTTGAGCTAGAAAGGAAGTGTCCACCCTTCTTAATCCAGGCAGAAAAAAAATCATGCATTCAACCCAGGACAACCTTCATATGTTGCTTTTAATATTTGATCTAATTATCCCCCTGAGGACAAACTGGAAAAACAAGAGGATTCACTTTGGGATAAGTTACAAAAGTTGACTCTCCCAAGAAAGTGCTACAAGGAAATCATAGAGTGAGGGGACACATTCTTAGCAACCTATAAAATTATGGAGTATAATATTTAATCAAAAGATAAATATAACTGGGCCACAAGACTAGTCCTCCTAGTATCTAAAGCAGACATGCCTTAAACCAAATTTGAAATGCCTTATTTTTAATGCAACATGAACAGTTCTAATCACCAGGGAACCTTCTCCAGTGCCCTCTGAGCAATAATAAAATAATACTGACTRAAAGCATGCCTCATATTGCTGACAAGTGAATCAAAATAAACCCACACCTAAAATTATTGAAAGCTAGCAAGTTCATAAAGGTTTAAAAATAATAATAAAATGCTGAATAGCCACTGCTATTTCAAAAGTAGATAATTTCTTCAATTCTTAGGCAGTTCTCTTAGATAACAGTAGAAAGGGTCCAATAAATCCAAAACAAACACAAGCCTGAAATTTTTCATTTCTAGCTAACCTTAAGCTTATATTTAGTTGTTTATTACTCAAACCAAGTAACTTTCTATAAAAAGAACACTCACACTGCTAGAACAAGAAGCAGTTGGCTGATAAATGGCTAAATAAGATTTATGTTTACTGTACTTGTTTCTAGAATAAAACAGGTTTATAAATAACTTGACATTTGTAATTTGACAATTGTCTTCTCACATATATTCTTAGTAAATGCTTATGCACTAGTAGATAACACAGAAAGAAATGACAAATATTCCAAGTTTTAAAATGTAAAGTATGTATGTAAACTACCATTAACATTTTTAAATATTTTCACACAAACTTAATATTTGGGTACATAATGAATTCATAATTACTTTGCCCAATCTCCTACTTAGAATAAAATGAAGGAGTAGAGCCATTTCTACCATATGATGGACAAAACCTGATTAATAAATTCATGGTAGAATTTGCAAACAATTTTCAAGTTCAAATATTCCAATACACATAAGACTTCTTGTTTACTTTCAAAGATTTGAAAGTTTAATTTTAAAAGGAAAAAAAAAAAAAAAGAAACCATCATGAACAAATCTAACTCACAACAAATAACCCAAACGGAAAGCTAACGTTAAATCCCTGTACCTAACCACTAGGCAGACTTCTCTAAGAGCCCCACAATCCTGCCCCCCACCAACCCTTCCCCAGGCATAGAGTCAGCAATAACACAGCGACTGTAATCTAGATCAATGGCTGTAGTCCCTTTGCCCCTGCCTTAGGGTGAAATACACTGGGGACATAAATGAATATTTGCTACTTACTTTTCAGTTTTCTTGTCTTCTCCTGAAGCTTCTGGCAAGTGTTCGATAACTCACTATTTATAGTTTGGAGGTTCCGTTGTTCTGAAATTGCTTCCTCTAATTTATGCAGTAAAGACTTAGTTTTTTCACTGGCAGAAGAGGCGGCCTGATCGCGAGCCTTAACCTGGATAYGCACAGTGAACACTGGGTTTTAGCAGGGTAGCCAGGGAAGACAGCAATTGAGCGCTCACTCACATGCATGAAACTGAAAATGTGCTTTTCTTCTCAGGGAAGTGATAAGCGTCCTCTCCACTTCTGTTGTTGCTGTTTGCCTGGGCTTGGTGTGACCGAGCTATTTCTACAGTGGTAGAAGTCCTGATATGTCAGGTTGCCTCCTTCTGCAAAGTCCCCTCTTTCATCATCAGGCTGTTGACACCGCCTCTTTTACAACTCCCCCCTTACTTCCTCCGCTTGCTGCCAGTCACTAGGGACTTAACTTCACAGTTCCTCTTTATTTTTTTTTCTTTGTTCCTCCTTCATTTTTACTTCATGGTCTTAAGGACATCTGAGGAGACTCACCCCCTGAATCTAATGTAGTCAGGTCCACCCTACCTGCTCCTCTGCATCCTCCAGACGTTGGCTAGCTTCCAGGAGCTTCTGCCTGAGGATGACTTCCTGGTTGACAGCATCTTCTTGCAGCTGTTTGATGGCTCCTAGTTGTTTCTGACTGGAGTTTAAAGAAAAAAAAAAGTCCAAACCACAAGCTGTCAGTGACATTTCAACTGAGAGTCACTCTGGGAAACCAACAAATTCAAACTCATAACTCCTCAGAGATCAGAGGAAAAAATGACGGTTTTTACATACATAGCAGTCCTTCACAAATACAGAAGTTCAAGCCTAGTGTATTGATCACCTAGCCTTGACTTTACAGCTGAGGACAATGTTCAGAGCACTTAGCCTTTGTGGCCTGCTGAGAAGATGGCTCTACAATGAGGTCAGGGTGACAGGTGCAATACTTATACTTCACAGTTAGACTTTAGCCTTTACAGAAAAGGGAAGAAAGAAGTGAGGGAGGGAAAGGAAACCAAAGAGAGCTTTGTCTCATGACACTATGCTTTCTCCTTAAGGGCTGACAATCGTGGTATACACAGGTGCCACTGGCACAGGAAGTCCACCCCAAATGGGGATGAAGCTGGCTGTGAACATTTCTGCTGCAGTTATCCCTTCTGTAGCCCTTCGCCACTTCTACCCTATTACAAATCTTGGGATTATTCTCACCCCTCATTTGGATCCAATACTAATCCCCAAAATATATACTAATGCATCTGTTCTCTATTAGTGATTGTTTAATCTGTACCACATGGCAACACATTGATGCTTATCTGGAAACAAAGTGACTTGAATAAGGACCTTATTCCCATTCTACATTGGTAAGAACCCAGCCGTGGTTACAAGAAGGACCACACCAAAGACAAGAAAGGTCTCACAAAATCATTTGCCATTATGGCACACAAACACCTAAACAACAACAACTAAAATGATTTAAATTGCCACACACTTTCTACTAAGCATTCTCCAATAGCTTATAGGCAGTGGTGGTTTTGTAGTAAGAACACTCAATAAATACACAGCAAATACACAATATCATTAAGTAGGCCTAATGTTGTACAGGTCTCTAAACCATATTCATTTTGCATAGCTGAAATTTTATACTTGTTGAATAGCAACTCCCCTATTCCCTCCCTCCAAGCTCTGGCAACTACCATTCTTCTCTGTTTCTACAGGTTTAACTATTTCTGATAGCTGGTGTAAGTGGAATAGTGCAATGTTTGTCCTGTGAGTAATTTATTTCACTTAGCAAAATTTTCCAGGTTAACAGTTATTGACAGATGTGGCATAATTCTCTTCTTTGACAAGGTTGGATAATATTCCTTGGTATATTCTTCATGCATTCATCCACTAAAAGATGCCTAGGTTGTCATAAGTAGGGCTGCAATGAGCATGCAAATGCAAATCTCTCTCCAACATCCTTACTTTAGTTCTTTTGGGTAAATATCAAGGAGTGGGGCTGTTGGATCATATGCTGGTTCTGTTTTTAATATTTTGAGGCACTTTTTTCATAGTGCCTATGTCATTTTACATTCACAAGAGAGTACAAGGGTTTCTCTACATCTTCAAAAGGCAACTTTTTTGTTTATAATAGCCATGGGTGTGAGATGATATCCAATTGTGGATTTTATTTGCATTTCCTGAATGATTAGTAACGTTGACTATCTCTTCACATACCTGTTGGCTGTTTGTATGTCTTCTTTGGAGAAATGTCTACTCAAGCTCATTTTTTWAAAAATCAATGTTTTAAAAATTATTTTTGCTATATAGTTGAGTTTCTTATRTATTTTGGATATTAAGCCCTCATGAGATATACAGTTTGTTAACTGTAGACTGTCTCTTTACAGAAAAGTTTCCATCTGCTGAAATCCCACATGTTCATTTTGTCTGTTGTTGCCTAGGCTTCTGGTGTCCTATCCAAGAAATTTTGTCATGATCAATGACATGAAGCTCCCCCCCCCACCCCATTTTCTTATAGAATCTTTCAGCTCCAGATCACAGGTCTAAATTGACTGTCTGATTTCATTCTTCCTGCAGATATACAATATTCCCAACGTTATTTGTTGAAGAAAATATCCTTTCCCTGTTGTGTATTCTTTGCACTCAAATATATCTGGATTTATTTCTAGGCCGTTTTATTCTCTGGTYTCTGCATCTTCATGCCAGTACCATACTAGTCTAACCACTGTAACTTTGAAATAGATTTTGAAATGGGGAAGGATCATGCTTCTATCTTTGTTCCTCTTCTCAAGATTTTTTAGGCAATTCAGGGTCCTTTGCAGTTCCATATGAATTTTAGAATTSTTTTTTTCCATTTCTATAAAAAGTATTATTGGGATTTTTGCTGGTAATTGCACTAAGTCTATAAATTTCTTTGGCTATTTGGAATTTTAGAAATGTGAAGTCTTCCAATCCATAAACATATTTCCATCGATTTGTCTTTAATTTCTTTCATCAATATTTTCGGTTTTCCATACGAAAGTCTTCCACCTCCTTATTTAAATTTATTCCTAAGTATTTTATTCTTTCTGATGTAATTGTAAGTTTAGTTTTCTTTCAGATAGTCACTATTAACATATAGAATTTGATTTTTGTATGTTGACTTTATATCCTGAAATTTTATTGATTTTACTCTAGCAGGATTTTTTGTGGAATCATTAGAGTTTTCTACATATAAGATCAGGTCAACTACAGATAATCTCAGTCTTCCTTTTTGATTTTCATGCCTTTTGTTTTAAATGTTCTMAAACTTCTAGTACAATGCTGAATAGAAGTGATRAAAGTGGGCATCATTGCCTTGTTWCTGATATTAGAGAAAATGTTTTTCACTGTTAAATCTTAGCTGTGGGTTTTGTATACCTGACTTTTATGTTGGGTTAGTTTCCTTCAATTCCTAATTTGCTGTGTTTGCATGAAAGACARTTTTGTTAAATGCTTTTTCTGCACCTATAGAGATGATTGTGCAACATGTTTCATTGGTCAACACAGTATGCCACATGGATTGATTTGTATGTGTTGAACCATCCTTACACCCCAGGAATAAAGCCCGCTTGATAGTGTTGAATTTGGTTTGCTCATAATTCATCAAGAATATTGGACTGAGGGCTGGGGTTGTTGTTTAGTGGTAGAGTGCTTGCCTAGCATGTGTGAGGCATTGGGTTMRATTCTCAGCASCACATWTAATAAAATAAAGATCCATCAACAACTTTAAAAAAAAAAAGGAATATTGGTCAGGGGTGATCTTAACATGTGTGTRTTTGGCTTTGGTATCAGGGTAATGCTGGCCTCATAAAATGCTGCTGCTGCTTYTTTTTTTTTTTCTTAAAGGCAACATTTGTTAAGAGTTTCAGAAACACTAGCATTCAATCATTAATGTTTGGTAAAATCTCTACCTGGGCTTTTCTCTCTTGAGGTGTTTGATTACTGAACTTTTTTTTTTTTTTTTTTTTTTTTAATGGTACTGGAGATTGAGCCCAGGGCGTGATGGCTAAAGGCAGTGCTCTGCCACTGAGCTGCATCTCCAGTTCATTCTTCTTACTAGTTAGAGGTCTATTCACACTTATCTAATTCTGTCTCAGTAGATGGCATGTTTTATGAATTTATTAGTTTTCTTTTAACTTATCCAGTGTGTTGGCATAGAATTTTTTAATGATTCTTTGTATTCCCATGGCTTAAGTTATATCTCTCCTATTTCTGCACCTGAATTTTTTTTTCTTACTAAGATTTGACAGGCTTTTTTCTCTTTTCAAAAATCCAATTCTTGGTTTTGTTGCTTTCTTATTTCTGCTATAATCTTTATTAATCCCTTACTTCTAACTTTGCACTTAAGTTGATCTTTTTCTAATTTACTGAGGTATAAATTTAGGTTACTTGAGACCTTTTTTCATGTGCTTATTTCTATAAATTTCCCTTAACATTGCTTTAGCTGCAACCCRAAGGTTTTTGCATACTCTTTGTTTTCGTTTGTCTGAAGATGTTTTCTAACTTCYCTTTTGATTTCTTCATTCACCCATTGGTTGTTCAGGACTATGTTGTTAAATTTCCACGTTTGTGRATATTCTAGGTCTCCTTCTGCTTTAGATTTCTAATCTCATTCTATTTTTGAAAAAGAAATAGTACAATTTCAAAACTTCTTAAATTTGCTAATACTTGTTTAGTAGTCTACTGCATGATCCATCGTGGAGAACATTCAATGTGCACATGAGAAGAAAGGATATTCTGTGGCAATTGAGTGGAATTTTCTCTGTTAGGTCCATTTGATCTGTARCATTGTTCAAGTGTGACATTTCCTGATTGTTTCTGTGAGTGTTCTACTTATTATTGAAAGTGGAGGACTGAAGTCTCCTACTGTTATTGTATTGCTGTCTATTTGATTTCTCCCGGCAGTTCTGCCAGTGATTGCTTTATTTTTAGGTGCTCTGATGTTGGGTGCATAGACATTTATGATTATACCTTCCTGATGAATTGACCTTTTATCATTATATAACATCCTTGTCTCCAATGACAATTTTTTACTTAATCTATTTTGCCTAATGTAAATAGAATCATCCCTGTTCTTTTACCATTTGCATGCAATATTTTTTACCCTTGCACTCTCAGCCTATGGGTGCCCTTAAATCTAAATTGAGTCTGATAAGATAACATCCAAGTCACATTTTTAAAAAATTCTGTCACATTTTTTGTGGATATTCACTTGCATTTAATTATTGATAGGAAAGGACTTATTACCATGTCACCACTTTGTTATTTATTTTCAACATGTCTTACAATTCTTTTGACCCTCTCTTCCTCTTATTGTCTTCCTTTGAATTCTGTTAGATTGCTTTCTCCTTTTTTTGTGAATATCTTCTATAAGTATTTTTTGTTGTTATGAGTCTTACATAAAATCTTACCGCTACACAGTATTTTCAATCACATTCACTAGACTTTTACTTCTCTACACATTTTCATAACTGATCACAAGTTATATCTTTTTATATTATGTATTCATTAATATTTTATAGTTAAGTTACTTATACTTTTTTTTTTTTTTTATACTGAGGATTGCTTAACCACTGACCATATCCCAGCACGCCCCTTCCTTTTGAGACAGGGTCTCACTAAGTTGCCAAGGCTGATCTCAATCCTGTGATACTCCTGCCTCAGCCTCAGCTTTTGTCTGCCTGGGAAAGTCTGCCTCTTCTTCATTTTTAAGGACAGATTTGCTGGGTATAGTTTTCTTGCACTTTCAGCACTCTGAATATATCATCCTAGACCTTTCTGGCAGGATTTCTGCTGCRAAATCTAATAGGCTTATGTGATGAGTCCTTTTTTATCTTGATGTTTTTAACATTCTATCTTTGACTTTTAGCAATCTGATCATGTGTATGGATATGGACTTATTTGGGTTTATCTTATTGGCTGTCCATAAGGCCCCTTGGATCTGGATGTCCACTTCCTTCCTCATGTCTAGGAAGTGTTCTGGATATTATTTCTTTGAATAATCTTTGCTTTATCTTATATGAGGCCTACACTCTAAGGTATAGATAAAAAACAAGGGAGYGTTTCTCTCATTTCCTCTGGGATTCCAAAATGCACACATCATTCCGTTTGCTGGCATTCCATAAGCTTTGTTCACTCTGTATTCTTTTTACTTTTTACTCCTCTGACTGTATAATTTTCAATAACCTGTATTCTAGTTTACCAATCTTTTGACTTGATCTAGTATGCYGTTGAAAACCTCTAGCAATTTTTTTTCAGCTCACTTATTGTATTTTTTAATGCTAAGATCTCTGTACTTTTTTATATTCTCTATCTTTCATTAWAATTCTCACTTTGTTCATGCCTTATTCTCCTGTCCTCATTTAGCATCTTCATTATATTCTGTCTGATAAATCATGTTTTTATCTATCTATASCTTAGAATAACCAGCTCTCTACAAGAGAAAACTCTTAGTCTGTGCAGGTAAAGGTCCTGGGGCATCTTAAACATTCATAACTAGTCCAGACCACTGTTTCAGTTCTTGGCAGTCCCCAGACATTTAGAATATAATGGATTCCTTCAGTACTCTGAGGCAGACAAGACAAAAGACAGTCTTCTGTTCTAGCTTCCCCAAACCCCAAAATACTGGATGGGTGGTCCGACTCTCTCATCCTTCTACTTTCAGGGAGTATTTGGGATCTGGGGACATTTTGCCTGATTGCTCTGCATTGAGCTGGGGACAAGGGACTCTGGAAAGTACCCACAAGGCTAGTTTTAACAGCCTATTTAATTTCAGTGCCCCATTCCCCAGGCATCTCAAGTATTCCAGGTCCCATCAGTACTCTGAGACAGGTGAGACAGAAGCCCTGGATAGTGGAGTRTTGAACATGTGGTCTTACTCTCTCCTTCCCCTGAGAGAAGCCGAGAGCTTGGAGGTTTCCTTCCAATCATGATTCTGTGTGGCAATGGTATTATGGTGAGGCTGTCTAGAACTTTCCTACCGGTTTTGATGTGGCTGGTTTCATTCTAGCCCAGGGTGCCGGAGACTCTCATTCATTTCTGGGTTTCTTAGAAAGGGAATTTGTCCATGTATTATGGTTATGAATCAGTATGTCCTTGAGGAAGAGGAGGGTCTATGGCTTCCTATTTCATCATCTTGCTGATTTCATCACCTCTCTGGGTTGGTTTGTTTAAGATGTCAGTTTTATGTACTTTTTTCTTTTCCAGGAATAGCCTAAAGTCCTTCATGTTGCAAGATAAAGCAGAAGGACTTTATGAACCATCAGAAATGCATATTTAATAATATTAATATTTTCAATCTCTAATATTTCAACCTATAAGACAATGACATAATGGGTTTTATGAACCATAACAGTATTTGAAATAGCTTTTCAAAAAAAATTAGATGGTACCATCTGTTAAAGATATTCAACAGATGTCGAATCTTTGAAATTTTTTTCTCCCAAAGAAATTTTCATTATCGTGTTAAGAGGTATGTATATTAGCTTTGAGCATGTTTTTAAATCTAACATCTCTCCTTAATAACATGTACTAAGCTAAATCTTGATTTCTATACCAACCTCTGCCAATTCTGTTCATCCCAGACTTTGCCATCTAAATAGCATACCATGTATGCAGTTTTCAGACCCCAAACATCTAAGTCCAGGATGACTCTGCTATTTCTTTTATTCCCTCACATCTATTCTACCAGTACATTAGATCTGACCTGCCCTCAGATATAGTTTTCATCCAGTGATCTCTTACTACCTTCACAATATTGCCCTRGCCCACACTACACACCTCATCTGGGCTATTACAATGACTCTATGGTTCATTCTGTGGCTTTTTTCTTTTCTAACTCTGTGGCTGTTTTTGATCATGACTCAGTAAGTATCTTACCTTTCAACACATATACATACATTGCTGAAATAAGAATTTTATTCAACTCTACTTTCTCTTACTGGATGCAATGCATTCTGAAACTTTACATTTTTTTTAACCACAAAGAGAAAAAAATGGGTCACAATCAAGCATACTGATTTTTCAGGATCTCTAAATGGTGATGTTTTATTGAAAAACAAAACAACTTCTTCCTGCTCTCCCTCTGTACTCTAAAGACAATTCTCCACCTGGCAGATCTTTCAGAAAACAGTTGTCTTGTCCACTCATGAATGGCTTCCTACCACATTCAGAATAAATTCCCGATTCATAAACATGAACTACAATTCTGCGTGTGCCCTGACCCCTGATTAAATCTCTGAGCCCATCTCCTGCCACTACCTTGCAGTGCAAACTTCTGGCTGCTGCTCAAGCACACCAAGCTCTTCCAGCCTTAGGGTCTCTGCACCAGCTGTCTCCAGGCTGAGGACACTACTGGATCRTCCCACAGCTCTCGTGCGCATATCACTCAGCTCTCTGACAGAACATTACCAGCCATTCCTTCTAAAGATAGGTCTTCCTGCCCCAACATTCTGTCTTATCTTGCTTTAATTGTCTTCACATCATTTGCTGCTTTCTGGCATTATTATAATTATATGTTTATTATTTGTGTTCCCCTACTACATGTTAGTTTCATGGAGGCAGAAATTTCTGTCTTATTTCCTACATTTTTCTGGCACCTAGGGGAGGAGAGTGGGGGCAGAAGCAGCAGCCTAGCAAAGGGCAGGCTTCCAGCACACATTCAGATGGCTGCTGTACGGATTACAACTTGCTTTCCTCACCAAGCCCTCTGAGAGCAGGTTTTCCTCCCACTGCCTCTCAGGATTCACTCAATTCCCTCCATCCCTCAACATTGGAACCTATGTGTCTCACAGCAAAATGGAAGTTTTCTCTTTCTCAATAGCCCTTGGTGGGGTGGGGGGTGGAAATCAACCTTTAATCAATATTCCCTCSCTCATTTAAAAAGACTTCTCTCTCGTCCCCACAAAGTACTTCATGTTTCTTATCCATAATTAACATTCAGCCAAATTATTTCAAGTAGGGCTCTATGCAGTTCTGTTTACAATTGTGTCCAGAAGGCATGGGATGGGCTGCAACTACCTTTGTGCAGGTAGGGAGTATTCTCTGAACTGCTAAATTCCCAGAATATGTTTAATGAATATTGTAGCAGATTTTAAGAAGGCAACAGTAGAGGATTAACAGTTGAAAGAACATAGGTTTTGAAGTCAGATACTCAGGTCTGAATGCCAGCCCTTGCTTAAATCCCAGCTGAGTGACTTGGGGCAAGTTAATAATCTCTAGAGATAAATAGCTGTCAAATTTTAGCACTATGTCCAGTCCAGTCATGTCTAGACAGATGAATCTACCATGATGAAACCAGACTGTTATGTGTATAGAGGATGGCATAGAGATGCACTCACTCAGAGAAGACCACAGTACAGGCCTCTTTCCAAATAGCTCTTTGTTGCCAAGTGGAATTTTAATGCTCCTCTTTTTAATGGAGATGGCATCTGGGAAGGAAGCTACTTGTCCACTTAACCCACACCTCTTACCACCATGGGGAAGTCTGGGCTCCCTGCTCTTTGGGGAAAAGCAGATCTTTTTCACAAGAGTTCCTCCTGCTAGTAACCTCTCTGGTATCTACTTTCCTCTGTTTGCCACTTTCTGGCATTATTTTCTTTAAGCTTATTTTAACCTCTACCTACGCTTTTTACTTTGCTCAAGTGCAACATAAACCCATGTCCTTTTGTACTTTCAGAAAACATTTGTCAAGTGAATGCTAAGTGTGCTAGGTCTTAGCAACTGTATCGTGGTCAACAAAAGATATAATCACTGTCTTTGTTTCGTATGTGGTTTACAGGGTGTAAAATGTCAAGAATTTCCCCCATAATCATAACTGTTGAGATTAGAGGAAGGATAAGAAAGCAAGTTATTTTCATTTATTATTCTCTATTCCCTATGACTTCATGTAACTGAAATTTTGTTGAGTAGTACCCAATGCAACGCATTGTAAACCAGAGTGGAACGCAGCCCAATAAGGAAGGAGTCCACAGGCTGCCTTCAAGTTCTAACTTTCTGTTAGTAACCCAGGATTTGATCAGTTCACCTTACCTCTTTATGTCCCAGTCTTCTGTAAAAATAAGATTATTAAAGGCTGTCCATGACTCCTTCTAGTTAACAAATTTCTATACTCCATAATTCCAAATTCTTTCTCTACAGAAAAATAATTTATCATACTGGTTTTCTATAGATTTCAAGTTTATCATTTGCAATTGAAAACTACTGGTCAATTTCATACTACTTCCCAACTCAAGATCAAACAGAATGTCTGAAAAAGTGTTGTTTGAAATCAAGGAATACAACTTTGCAAAGGGCTAAATCCAAATCATCATCATGTCATGTACATAAAGCATGGGTTTCTTATATAAAAATGATCATCACCTGGAAAGAAATTCTTTTCTGAAATAAAAATAGTCCAGCCTGAATTTCTTCAAAGTCTCTATTAATTTGACAAATACTTTATCAAGATATTCTTTGTGATTTCTCAAGCTTTTCAGCATAAATATGCAAAGATTTAGCTTCTCTTCCATAATGTGTTTGAATTCCTATAAGAAAAGTCACAAAACAAACTCCAATATTCTACTATTAAACAAATGAAATATAAAATTCTATGGACATTCCCATCTCTATGCCATTCACAGCTATTGGACCCCAAAAGTACAACTCAATTCTCAATTGCTCAGAGGTGATTTATTAGTTGATTATCTTGATTTAACAATATGTATAAAGTGCCTGTCCGGTGGTTAAAACCCAAGTTTTACTTTATTTTTCTTAAGTAGATTTTTTTGACCATTCCACCAATCATCATGATTGTTCTAGAACATAGTTGGATAAAGTAATGCAATAAAAAAAAATCAATATTTGCTGATTATTATATTCAGAAGCAACTTTTTAAAAAGGTTAGATTGGAAAAGGATTTGAAAATAATATTCCAGAGTTTACTTTTTTAAACGTAACTTAGTAGGGGGTTGATGAATGCTAGGAAGTAGTCTGGTATCAAGAAGTAGAGCTACAGGGGCTGGGGTTGTAACTCAGTGAAAGAGCGCTTGCCTAGCATGTGTGAGGCACAGGGTTTGATCCCCAGCACACATAAACAAATTAMTAAACAAAATAAAGGTATTGTGTTCATCTACAACTAAATAAATAAAGAAAGAAGTGGAGATACAGAGATTTCTTATGTGCTTCCTTTCTAATAAAGCTGGGAATAGCTAACTAAGATGTTCCCATTTTTCAACTATTCTGCTACTTCCTGAGAAAATAAAGTAGTTGGAGAATCAGGAAGAAGATTCTTTTTATACAATAATCATTCTACCAAAGCTAGAGAATTTTCATAGGCCAAGGTAAAAGCCAGGCTTAGACTAACCAGTTCTCTGGAAGAAACAAATAAAACATTTTTTTTTCATTAAGTTGTCTTATTTATTCCTTCTCTTTCCTTACACTCCTGCTCACACATTCACCTTAACCCTCCCGCTCAACCACATATTCACACTCATTAAACTAAGATGGCAGAAGTCCACAATAGAGTCTTAGAAAATAGTACTGTTGTTACTGTACATAAGTATTACCTGAATTTCCATAGTGGAAGAAAAACCAGGAAAAAAAAATCACAGAACACTTACAGCAAGCTGCTTTGCCCACTTTTCTTTTGCAGTAATTTCTGGATTAGTTACCCACAGCAGGGAGCTGTGAAGGAAGGTTCCAATGTCAGAGACTTCTTCTTGCTTGGGGGCAGAAAAAGAATTCCACATCTTCAACTAGGAATTAAGGTCAAAGGCACGTACGTCTATCACATAGTAAGAATTAATTTAGGGCTGCGATCGTGGCTCAGTGGCAGAGCCCTTGCCTCRTAAGTATGAGGCACTGGGTTTGTTCCTCAGCACCACACCAAAATAAATAAATAAAGGTATTGTGTCCATCTAAAATTACTAAAAAAAAAAAAATACTAACAAAAAGAATTAATTTAGACCAAAGTTCTACCATATAGGTAATTCAGGAAGACACTAGTTAAAGTAACCTTCTTAGGGAACATTCCCCAGTGAGTTCCCTTTTTCTGAAGAGGTGGCTATGGGTACATACTAACTCTTTTGGTGCACTGTATATACTGAGTAAGTACGAGCAGATCATTTTCCAGAACAAATCCTGTTCATTTTCTTTCTCCTTTCAAACAGAGTCAATCATTTTTGTTGATTTTTATCCTCCATCAAACTATACACTACCTCTAATAGGCAGGCTTTGTTGAAAAGGACTAGAAATACAAAGATAAAGATGTTATTTGACTTTTCCAATCATTTAGAATTCCCAGCAGGGAGAGGGGGGATCAAATTGGAGATATATGGGCCATTAATGAAAAGGAAATGAAGAGAAGGAAACTGTCCAATAGGTGCCTTGTCTTCAGCCCTTCAGTGTTAAAAATGAACCCGCAGGAAAAACAAGCTCATGACATCATACCCAAGATCACTTTGTTAGTCTTGACTGACCCAGAATTAAAAGATCAACTTCAGAATAGTTTGAGTATCTTCTCATCATAGGGTTAAGCTGGGTCTCAACAGCACACGATTGTTCTGAAACAACTGTACATGTGGATCCAGCAAATGCACTATAGGTCACTAATCTGCAGATATTCCTAGCCAGAGGGAAACGTCATGACACATGTATGTCACAAATACCAGCTTCTGAAGTGCAGCTGTGAACTCCACTCCCTTTTGTTCAGCCTCTGTTAGGACCAGCAGCATTCCTTGGTCTATCACTGTGTCCAGAGCCGACAAGCTGGGCACACTGCACTGCCACTCAGTGTCATTATTCTGAAACAATTAGCAAAATACCCACAACTGTTATCCTAATAAAAAATATTATTTTTATTTTATGAAAATGATACTTAAAGGTCAATGTAATTGTCATAAATTAGTTCTAAACAGTCTTATGGGATCCTCCTGCATCCTAAAAAAGAATGTGGACATCTTCTTTCTAAAATACCTGTACCTGAATATTTAGTTTTTTGAAAGGAAAGCAATTTATTTTTTGAAAGGAAAACAGCCTAGATGTTCTGCTGAGAGCTGTGTTCTTATAACATTTACATGTTGGTGGTTGAAACTTATGGCACCGATTTTAATACAGAAATAGAGAAAGGTAAATAATTTATAGGGTCAAAGTGGGAAGAATGTGCAATTAACCCGTTTAAAATTAGGTTTGTTCCTTTTGTCTCCCCCCCATTCATAGCAGGCATGCTCAGATGGTGTTTCACAAAGCACGCATGTTCCCCATGCTCCCAAAGCCCATCTCAGCCACATTTAAGATATATGACAACAACATATTTAGCTTTCTTTTTGCTGTCTGTTGGAAAGTGTCAAGGACTCTAATTTCCAGATTCCAGTAAGAAGGCAAGCTTCCTAACTCATCAGGGAGTAAACCTCAGCCAGGATTTTGCCAGCTGACAACCTCCTGTTGGGAAGTATAGAACTTTATGGGCTGGCATCTTGACATCATTATTATCTCAGAGGACTAGGGATAAGAAACACACAGCCATGGCAGATTTGCCACAGTTTCATTCAGTCTGGCAGTTTGGCTTGGTTTCAAAAGTACAGTGGAATGATGAGTATTTGAAACAGAATGTCACAAAAACACAGCTCTCAGCAGAACCTGCAGGGCTGTTGAGACGGCTTTGGATGAAGGCAGCATATGTTGCCCTTGCATCCTTGGCAGGAACAATTCAAACAGCATTTGCCCCAAAGACATTCTCCCTCTGCTTTCAAGGTCATATCACAGCTGTCAACAGAAGGACATTCTGACACAGCCATTATCCAGACGGGGAGAGACTAAAGCAGAGAAAAGAAAGCAATTGGCTAAATAAAGCATTTCCTAACATAACAAGCACAGAATTGGAAAATAAAAGGACTAAACATCTAGGAGAGCAACACTACTTTCAGATCCAAGAAGGCTTTTGAGTGTTTTCTTCCCATGTTGTAAAGAACTGGGTCTAACAAAGAATTTTTTTTAAATAATTCATTTTGCCATTTTAAATTAACTAGAACACATAAAAATTTTAGTTCCTGTTCATAATGTAATAACTGATACCATAAAATTGAGCTGGTATACTCTGGAAAGCATCATAGAGCTTCCTCAAAAACCTAGGATTGGAACCACCATATGACCCACCTATCCCAATCCTTGGTATTTATCCAAAAGAACTATGATCAGCACTACAGTGATATAGCTACATCAATGTTTATAGCAGCTCAATTCTCCATAACCAAGTTATACAATCATACCAGATGCCTGTCAATAGATGAATGGATTAAGAAAATGTGGTGTATGTATGGCATTTGCCAGTAAATGGATGGAAATGGAGAATATATCCAACTAAATGAAATAAGCCATAGACTCAGAAAAATCAAGGGTTAAACATCTTCTCTCATGTGTGGAAGCTAGAGCAAAGTAAGGGAAAAGTGTATGTATGAGGCGGTGTTGGGGGTGGATAAGTTATCATTAAGGATAGAGGGAAGACCAGTGGAATAGGATACTGAGGGGGAGAAGAGGAGACAGGAAAGAGGAAAAAATATGAAATAAAATTAACAAAATCATGCTATGTGCATTTATAAATATATATAAAGGAAAAATTCCCTGTGGTATATGTAGAAAGTACCTATCCAATATAAATAAATGAGCTAAAGGAAGATCAGGAGGAGGAGGAGGAGGAGGAGGAGGAGGAGAATGGGAGAGGGAGTGGTAGGGATAGTGATTAAAATCAAATTCTATGACTGTAGGATTTTGTCAAAACAAACCTAACTACCATGTACAACTATAAAGCTTTAATTTAAAAAAAAGTGATTGGTTCAATTAAAGCAAAGAAATTGGTATCACTTCTGGACATCTTAGTGTTTGGTATATACACATACTTTAAGGGCTTTAGAAAATGTGAAAAAAAAGATTACTTCATGGATTCTACTGCTACATTTATGATCCTAGGCTAGAGATCAGGGCAGGTAGATKATCTTGAAAAGACTGAGAATATAAAGATTTCACTGAACACACACATCCAAAAACCTGGGCTAGCCTTGCTARACTTAGGCCATTACTTAGAAATGGTTTTTTTTCCCCCCCAGGCTAAAAGGTTTTAGACTTGAATTCTATAAACTCTCAGCAGATATGTTCCAAATATTCTTRGACAGTCACTTAATAGTAGCTACATAGCTTACATAATCTCCCTCTGATTAGAATGACTTACCTCTGCAGACTGAGCTAGAATGAGCTCATAATGTAAAGATTTTTGTCCTTCAGAGACCACCTCATTGTGCTCTCCACTGACATTCAGCTGGATCCCATTTCTTAGAAAAAAAAAAACAAGTGGTCCAGTCAGGTRCCTCCAACATTATGTTTGCAGTCAYCAAAACAGGGCTCATYTATCACCAATAAGTGCYCATGGTAGTCAAGGACTGTACAWGGGGCTCAAGGTGGAGAGAGAAGAGAGATCTATACTCCAGGAACTGAAGGCTAGTGACTCCAGGAGGTCCCAAACAAGTGGGCCACAGTTAAGTACTGAAACCAGCACTTAAAACATAAAATGTCACTAAAACATCTAGATTTCTGGCTTTCCTTCCACAATCGGAAGATGTGGGCACACAGGGTTCATAGAGCCTTGATAAAACAATTAGCTGGAGCTAGGCAGAGTTGCTGCCTTTGCCTTTTGTRTTGGCAATGCCCCTTTCTCACTGCCATTCACATACCATAGGCGTGTGCACTCACCCACTGGCTTTACTGGTGTTTGTAATCTGAGTGCCTGTGCATTCTGGAGCAGCAAATTACACACTTCAGAAACTATGGTTATCACAGGGAATAATGTGTGTCAGGAAAGAGGTAAGAACAATTTGCCGTGCTTGCCCCCTGGTATTTGGAGGTGGAGCCTTTGGGAGGTACTAGCATCGTAGGGGTAAAGTATTTATGAATGGGATCAGTGCCCTTGTAAGATGCCAGAGAATTAGTTAGCTCTCTTTTCTCCACATGAAGATAGAAGAATGAAAAGCCCTCACTAGAACCAACCCTGATGGCACCCTAATCTTCGACTTCCAGCCTCCAGAACCATGAGAAATGAGTGTTTGCTGCTGAAGACACCCAGTCCGTGGTGTTTTCTTATAGCAATCCAAATTGACTGAAGTCAGGAAGGGTCACAGAAAACTGGTGAAGGAGCTCCCCTGGAGAAAGGGAAAGAGAGAGCATACACAGGTGCCGAAGAACAAAGTGGGGCGTCACAAAGCACTGCATGCAGGTCAGGGGACCATGGCACAAGATAGAAGGCTGGCGAGGGTGGATCCTACTTACAGGACAAGTTCTTGCTGCAAGTGCTCTAACTCTTGAGCCAGTTTATTTTTATCACCTTGTAAATTCTGGAAGCAGAAATGTTAGGCTGTTTATGTTGCTCTAGTGGGAACTTATATTTAACAGCTCTGCTTTGCAAGTTGTGTAATTATGGCATACCTCTATCACACTTCTATACTCTGTGATGGTCAACTTCAGCTCTTCTATGCTTAAATTCTTCTGAGAAATAGAAAGTGAATTAATAGCAAAACAAAAAAAAAAAAGCGTGGGGGTGGGGCAGTGAGTCCACCAGTCCACTTGCATCATCAATGCAAGCCAAAAAATAGTAAAGACCCAATCATCATGATATTTTCTATCAATCTTGCTATTTGAAAACAGAACCAATCAATGTTTGGGATTAAAAAACATATAAGTGGAGGGACAATAAGGCAACTTTATCTAATAAGTGTCATTATGTTCTGTTTGTCTGGTTCAGTGAAATCAAATCTCAAAAGTTGATTCTTAACTGTAATGATGATGATGCCATTAAAGAAAAGAAAATCTTTATGTGAAAGTGACCAATGAATTACTAAGTCATCCAACTTGCTCCAGTTCAAATAATACCTCAATTAACATCACTGATATTGCAAGATAAAAAGCCAGCATTCCTCCCTCACAAACACATTTTTGTGAAGTATCTTCAGAAAAATCTTAGGACCATAATAACAAAATCAGATTTTTCCTAGGGGTGAAGTTACAAAAATGACCATTTTCCTCACAATTTGGAGAAAGCTAGTCAATCGCACAGGATTCTCAAAAGGAAGGGATAATACCAACCTTCTGCATAGTTGCATCTTTATTAAGCAACATATTTTCGTATGTGTGCAATTGCATCTGAAAAGAAACAAATTTAAGGAAGGTCATTGGGACATTGTTTTGTGAAAGGACCGTGCCATAAAATCATTACAGTAAGGCAGACATGTTTCTGAAGCATGTATTTTTCACTTTATAACAAAGTTTCATATCCAGCCTTATAACCCTAAAGGCAGAGGTCACTGTCCTCACTTCAACAGTGAGGAAGCCAAAGTTCAGCACTATTCAGACTCGCCCAAGGCCACCATCAGTGGCAGAGCTGAGCCTAGAATGTGAGTTCAAGCTTCAGAGACGTGCCCTTCCCTCTGTTCCACACGAGAGGATGTAAAAAGTTTTTACTTTTTTTGTGAAAATGAAAATCTAGAACAGAACAGATTTCATGAGAACATATAGAAAAGTCTTCTTTTAAAAACAATTTTAAAATGTTCCAAGATTCCTTTTAGCAAAGTGAATATCAAGAATACATCAATTTCTTAAAACCAAAAGCAAACTTGCCAGCATACACTTCTAAATATAATGGAATTGACAAATACATATAAACTAAATTAAGAGCCTGGAAAAATAACTGGCAAAGCCAGAAGCAGCATCACCATCCTAATTATACACGTTGGATTTCTCGCTATAGTTCTAACAGTATTTTCACAAAATCCTCCAAATTAAAACAAAAACAAAACTTGTAAAATAAGTAGAGATTTCATATCCATTTAACAGGTGACAACTTGAGACAAGGAAGTCAACGATTTGCTTAACATTACAAAGCTTTTAAGTAGAAAAGACAGGATCTGAACCCATGTCTTTGGCTCTTTCTACTGTTTATCACAGTTGCAATTTCAAAGTAGCCGTTCCTAGTGTAGAATTAATTTTAATGTCTAAATTATAACAGCTATAATATATGCCTCTGCATGTACACAGAGAAAACTTGAAAATGACACATAGATAAGAAATAAGTATATCATTTCAAACAATGAAAAATAATGTTCAAATAAACCACTGAGATGATGATGACATATATTAATGAATTTGTTGACAGGTTCCTTCCATTTCCTGATAAGAATATATGGTAGATAACAAAAGTATGTACTAAACAGACTTTACAGACATAAGATATTTTTGTAAGGTACAGTTTCTTAATCAGGGAGCAATTTTTCCTATTTCTCATTTTCTGCGTTAAGAATATATAATATCTGAAATTTTCCCTGACTTAAGGATTTTAAAAATCAGAAGCTATTAAATTAGAAATTGCACTATACTTAAAAAGATAAATAGCAAGTGTTGGCAAGAAGGCAGAGAAGTGTGCATCCTTATACACTGCTGGTGAAATGTATAATGGTGAAGACACTTTGGAAAATGGTCTGGCAGCTACTACAAAGGCTAAACATAGCTGGTTGTGGTGGTGCACACCTTAATCTCAGCAGCTCAGGAGGCTGAGGCAGGAGGATGTTGAATTCAAAGCCAGCCTTAGCAAAAGTGAGATGTTAAAGCAACTCAGTGAGACCCTGGCTCTAAATAAAATATAAAATAAGGCTGGGGAAGTTGCTCAGTGGTTGAATGCCCCCGAGTTCAATCCCCAGTACAAAAAAAAAAAAAAAAAAAAAGTTAAAGAATCACCACATGATCCAGTAATTCCACTCCCAGGTAAATAATAAAGAGAAGTGAAAATATAGGTCAATAAATATATACACAAATTTTCATAATAGTACCAAAATAGAAATGGCTCAAATGTCCATCAACTGATGAACATACAAACAAAATATGGTATATCCATACAATAAAGTATTATTCAACAATAAAAATAGAGTACTTGACATATGGAATACTGATAACATGGATGAACTCTGAAAACATTATACTAAGTGAAAGAAGCCAATCATAATAGAACATACATTGTATGATTCCATTTATATATGAAATGTCCAGAGCAGACAAATCTAGAGAGACAGAAAATAGATTTAGTGGTTGCCTAGGACCGAAATAACTGTAAAAAAAAAAAAAAAGGTTTATTTTGGGGTGATGAAATGCTTTAAGCTTAATTTTGCTTATGGTTATACAATTCTGAATATACTAAAAACCACTGATATGTATACTTCAAGTGGATGACTTTTGTGGCAGATGAATTATGTAACAGCTGTTACCAAAAAATGAGAAAAAGAAACCGCCTTTTATATAAATAATTCAGACATTCCAAGGAGTGCAAATTTCAGAATTATAACCACAGGTTATTGTGTCATTGAGTCAAATACACTGGCATAGAATAATATTGATTTGACAGAAGAAAATTTTTACCAGTATTTGAGAAGTGCTTACTTGATGCTCTGTCTCAATTTTAGATAATTCCTCAATCTTCTTTTCCAGTTTATCCATATCTATCATGTTCTTAATATTCTAATATAAAAGAAGAGGGTATTCTTAGATTTGGCACCAAGGAAAATAAAAATCTCACAGTCAGTGACTTTTAGCAAGTGGTATTTTCACCATTAGCATTGTAATCCATCTTAAACTGAGACACAAAAGTTGATATGCTCTAGAGACAGCATGATCCTTTGAACACAACCATCGTGGATAYATGCATTTCTATCCCCCACTCTACCTCAGCCACTTGCTCTCACAGTCATAGCTTCAAATTTGTTATTGCCAGTTAACCATGACCTTGTGATGTTTGACTGCAAGCATCTCACTTTTCAATCACCACCTCTTGGCTTTCCAGATTACCTCCTCCAGCACTAACAAACCTTCCCCATGGAACTTGCTATCCATGGATCTTACGGCCTTTTCATTATCCTTAAAACTTTCCATGAACTTAGAACCTCTTTACCCAATTTAAATTCTTTTACASTCAATCATTATAATCCCTACTTTCCACATGCTCAGTTCCCTTGCCCACCCCTTGGGTCTCAGCATTAAAAGAGCTTGCCATTCACCCCAGGTCAACTGCTTTCCAGTAACTATGGTGAAAGAATGAGTCAATAGGCTGGTCACAAGTTCATGACCTTTAGCCTCCATGTCTTCTGTGATAAAATCATATAATCCTGGTATATTCACACTGCCATTGCCAAAATCAAGGGTTGGCAAATGATGGCCACCTCTCATGGTCCAAAGGCCAAACCTGGATGATCACTTCTCTGTAAATTTGAGCCCAACTATCCCCATTTGTTCACACATTCACTATAGCTGCTTTCACAGTACACAGGCAGAGGTAAGATTTGCATAAAGGCCCAAAGATGGCAAAACCTAAAGATATTACTATATGGTCCTCTATTAAAAAAAAAAAATCCAACCCCCAGGCTATTTTATCCCTTCCCTTTCCTAAAACTTCCAATACCTCCCCCAGCAACCTTCCTCTCAGGGAATGATTTTGTTTTGTATTTCACTGAGACATTATAAATAATCAGGAGACAGTTTCCATATTTCCTGAACATACAATAAATATATTTGGCTGCATTATACAGCATTTCCTGATTTGAACAATTGTGTCCCACACCACTATTACTGCTTCAATCAAAGCCCCCACTAGTCTTGACTGGATCACTTCAAGCTTCTAATTAGTTTGCTGGCTTTTTTATTGGCTYCACTACAGTAGGTTATAGACCCAGCAATGAGAATTATCTTCTTAAAAACAAACTAGATTATATTATTCATTTACTCAAAACCCTCCAATAGCTGCCATCTCTGTGTTTTAAAAAATGTAATAAAATTAAACACCAGAGTCCTTACAGTACCTGCGTAAGGCCCTGTGCATCTGGCTACCTGCAGCTCTCGGCCCACATYTCTTGCCACTCGTTCACTCTTCTCCAAACACACTGACCTTGATGCCCTCCAAAACAGCAGGCAGGCTGCAGCTGCAGAACCTGGAAAGTGTGCTGCTTCCTCTGCCTGGAATGCTTTCACAGGTAAGCCTCCTTTCCAGTTTTTAACCAAAGCCTTAATTTTGCAATGCTGCTTTTCTGGAACACGTAATTTAAATTGTACTCCCCTTTCTCTCAATTCTGTTTGCCTTTCTTTTCTCCATAGCAATCATTGCCATTAAAGACACAAGTTCTACATGAGCTTTTTTGCTAAGTCTGCATACTCAGCATTTTGAATGAAACCTACACATAGAAGACTCCCAAYATATATGGTGAAAGAATCTGGGCCACTATTCAAACCATTTTTGCCATTATACTTCACATGGTCACAAATTTTTGCCTCCTAAAGGAATCTTGATTGGCAGGGTTATTTGTATGACTATGCTACTATACATCAACATTTGCAAGACTACCTCATGATGAAGAGGTTTAAATCTTCCACCTCAATTCTAAACTAGTTTCGAACAATTCTTCAATGTTGTCACTCATTTAGGTACAAGAAGATAAAACTCTTACATTAGGAGTTAATTGGAAAGGACTAGTTTCAGAAATGTCTGGTCTCACAGGTGTAACAATTCTGAGTGTGATGTAGGATTCTTTACAGTTTAATTATTCTTTTATAATCTATTATGAATTTGTTTAATATCCGCATGACTTGTATTTTCACTCTCTAGGCCAGTCATCATGGCTTAATAAATGCTTGATAACCTCATATAAAACTGAAACAAACAAAATTTTACATAATACTTGATATTCAAAAGATATATACAGGGAACTTTTCCCTCTAAAATAGAAATTCACTAGTGTTTTGTTCTTTCAATGCTTTAACTCTTTACTTAAAAATACAAAGAATTATACTTTTTTCCAGAGATTATATAATATGCATGATTAAAAAAAWTGCTTCATATCAATTATCTTAATCTCCAAAACAACACTGTGGAATAAATATTTTTAGTCCAGGAAAAAAAACCAGTTTTCCCAAGGTGGTGTTTTCAATGAATTTAAGATCTYGATGTAAGACTCAAGAATCTTTCTACCTCATTCAAGGTAATAGAATATTTTCAGAAAACTTCATGCTTTCCTTCTTGATTTGGGTTTTTAAGATGAGCTCATTTAATTCTACCTTAAATCTGAATTTCTTAAATCCCACTTTTCCATGGACATTTGCAAATGTAATAAGACACCTCTGCCCTGACATGAAAATCCTTCTACTTTTCTCGACTTATAACATGACACATCACCTACTTTTGGGCCCAGAGGGACCTGAAGCCACATGATTCTTTATTTAACTCATGGTGTTAACCCATGATCATATGATTTCCATATGTTTACCTAAGCCTGTGTTTAATGATTTCAACACACCTCTTCCTGTAGAATCTTAATCTTAAGAATCAGAGCCTGGTTTTCTGTCTCCTGAAAAGAAAAATTAGAATTATTTAAGAATTTTATGAAAGTTCCACATATTTACCTCTAAGGGCATTAACACTCTTTTCCTTTATCAACTTTAAATTTAAATGTGGCATTCATATGTCACAATTGAGTACAGTCTAAAAATATTTTCAATATGGGGGTCAAGCCTTGGCTTGCAGTTTCTTGAGGAACTGAAAGTAGTTASTCTTCTCCCTAATTCACAGGAATAGTAGTTAAGGAGAAAAAGATAAAAAAAACTAAAAAAGGAACAACCTGGCTTCTTTCCTTTCTACATTAGCACCATTCTTTTATGATAGATAGCTGCCAACACAACTAGTTAAACTGTTCCTTGAAACCACAACGAGTTTCAGCTTTCTCTCTGAAGCTATAGATATTCCCAGATTCAATGTTACCACAACATGTGAACATCAGAAACTTCTATAATTAACAGTCTCAAATTCAGAAGTATCAGAAGAAAGACTATTCCAGGATGGGATATTTATAAAATGTTAACAGTAAATCTTGTGGGTGGGTTAAGGTAAGGACTTTGTGGAATTTTATTCCTTGTTAATATGCATTTCTTTGTTTATAAAAATAAAATGAACAAGAATTGCTTTTATAACAAGAGAAAAACATCTCAGGCTAGAATTTCACTGATAAAAGAATATAGGAACACACAAGCACACACACCATGTTCTTGGCATCAGAAGACTGGAGTTCAATTTTATACCATTTATTACACAATTAACTGAGGCATCRAGACATACCTGGACTTTATCAATTTAGTTCATTTTTAAAAGATATGAAGATATAGCAACTTCTTTTTCTATCCCACAGAATTTCTATGATTACCAATGAGGTAAAATAGTAAAACTCCTGTCAAAATTACAAAACACTACAGAATGCAAAGAATTAGGATTATATATCTAGGACTCTGCACTTTTACCAATAGTAGTTAACGTTAATGAGACCTAAGAAGAAAAGGATATTATGATACATGTGTTAAGCTTATCTATCCCTCCTAGTCCTAGTGTAGGTAGGACAGTCATCTCTGTGTATCTAGGGGGACCCTGAGGCTTAGAGTAGTTCAATGGCTTGTCTAGAGTCACACGGAGTTGGGGCTTGAACACAGGCAGTCTCACTCCCCAGGGCGCTCTTAATCATTTCCCCTTGTTGCCTCTAGTTTGGAGACCCCCAGTGGTCCCAYACTGAGTCTTCCCTATAAGGCACTCAGACTCTCAGTCACAAAGGAAATAATACCCAGTGAGTCTGGTCCTCACATCTTCCTACCAGGACCAGAGCTAAGCTAAATGAAGCAGTGCATGTTGTGAGAGGTCAAAGTGTTGACCCAGGCTGGAAACCAAGCCTCCCAAAGACTTACAGACTCTAAAAACTGCTTTTTGACAAATATCTAAAGAACCAATTAGTGTGAGTGACTTTCAGCTGCCTTCACCATCATCAGTAATGCTAGAATTTATCAGGATTTTGAAGATTATTACCAATGCTAAAATCCTCAGTAAAAATGATCATTTCTCTGGTATCTGAGCTAAAGCTTGGTTGGAATGATTTCTTGCTCTGAAATTTCAGGACTGTGCTTATTTAGTGGAAGGAAGGACCTACGAAGTTTCTCATTAGCCTGGAAGTCCTGAGAGAACTAAGAAAAAGCTGAAAGTTTGGCAGAATTYTTTTTTAATTCAACTGTTTTTTGTTTTGTTTTGTTTTTGCATCASTTCATTTTGTTTTATGAACTCCCCATCAGCCTTGGGAGACATTCTAGAGATTATCTGGATCTTTATAACCCATATGAATATAATAAACACTTATAAAATTTAATCTTGATTGAAAAGTAATTTTTAATCCTACTTGCCTATAACTTTTCTAAGTTTTCACCAATTCATTTATCAAATTATTGTCTTTTTTTTTTGCCCCAAAACAAACCCTCTTAAACTTTAGTTATGTAAACTATGTACCAATCTCACAGTACTTGATGACTTACTAATTGTTTTTTCTGGGCTAAAATTAAGGCCTTCTCCTCTTCTGAAGCATTCATACTAATTTTCAGTTCCTCCAGTTCTTCTTTTAACCGACTTGTTCTCATAATAGCTTGGTGGGCACTGTGGGGGTGGGGGAAAGACAAGAGCAAAACCTCAAATATAACTGTCAAAGACACAAAGGAAAGTCAAGAACTAATTTTGGACCCAAGCTAAAAACCACTAAAGACTTAAATCAGATACCAATAATAATAAAAAYACACCTTCTGATTGTTCAGTCCTTGGAAAAGCAACAAAATTAACAAGAGTATAATGGGAGAGGGGGAATAAAAGAAATACAAATATATTCCTAAAACTAAAGATTTAGAAAATTCCTTTGAAACCCATCATTGGCTAAACAACATGGTTCTTTCCTCCTCCTAAATAGATGTAATATTAGTTAATGCAAATTTTGCAAGTATTTACTGAATACTACTACATTCCAGGTGTTGTACCCTGTATGAGGGCTATAATGGAAGACAAGAGATATGTGGTCTTTGTCCTTAGAGACCTTACATACTGTGGTGGAGGTGAACAGCCAAACAAATAATCGCCACAAGTCTCTACACACTATATTCCACAGGGAAATCTATTGCAGTATTTGTCATAATAGMAAAAATTGGAAACAACCTAGATGACCACCACCAGGAAACAGATTTAAAGGAATGTTGGTAATCCATGCCATGGAATCACCTATTTGCAYCTCTCATTTGATTATAAACTGTCTCTGAGGGAGGTATATTTTTCTTACTAAGGAATTGCATTGATAGCTAAACTATGGAACCAACCTAGATGACCTTCAACAGATGAATGGATAAAGAAAATGTGGTATATATACTCAATGGAATATTACTCAGCTTTAAAGAAGAGTAAAATTATTGAATTTGCTGGTAAATGGATGGAACTGGAGAATATCATGCTAAGTGAAATAAGCCATTCCCAAAGAACCAAAGCCAAATGTTTTCACTGATATGTGGATGCTAATTCATAAGAGCAGGGTGGGGGAGAATAGAGGTACTTTGGATTACACAGAGGGGAATGAAGGGAGGGGAGGGAGTATGGGGGTAGGAATGATAGTAGAATGAGTCAGACATTATTACTGTATGTGCATATATGATTACATGACCCGTGTAACTCCACATCATATACAACCAGACAAATGAGAAGTTACACTGCATTTACTTATGATGTGTCAAAATGCATTCTACTGTCATAGTATAACTAATTAGAACAAATAAAAATTAAAATTTAAAAAAAGGAATTGCATTGATCATTTAGCAAATTTTTGAGCTCTAAATCTGTGCCAGATGTTGCACGGACACTAAAGAAGGAAAAATTATACTCCGTTGTGTGAATGTACCATTCACYGAGTTTATAGTCTACTATGGTAAACAGTTATAGTTACCATACAATGCAATAAGAACCAAGGCTAGGGTAGATCCAATTTCTGTGAGCACCGCATAAAAGGCAGATAACTTAGGCAGTGAAAGAGTGTATGTTTTGCACAAGTAAAAATTCATCAAGGGTCTACAGGCAGTTAGATATTGTTACAGTATAAGGTAGAAAATGGGAAGCAGAGGCTAGGTAGCAGAGCCCCATCACGAAAGGCTTTGTAAACTGGCAAAGGAATTTAGATCTTTATCCTAATTGCAACATGGATCCGTCCAAGTGTTTAAAGCAGAGGCATGATGTGGTTAAACTGGCATCTGCAAAGAGAATTCCTGCCAGCATGGCACATGTCTTTGAGAAAACAGGAAACCTAGCCAGAAGACTGTTGTGGTGACCCAGGTGAAAGACAATGCTGGCTTGAATTACATGGCAGATGCAAAAGTAGGCAGAAGTCAATCTATTGAAGAGATACATTCTACTGTCATGTATAACTAATTAGAACAAATAAAAATAAAATTTAAAAAAGGCATTGTATTTATCATTTAGATACAAAGTTGATAAAATTAATCGAGTTTGTTATTGATGTAAAAAGGAAGAATGAGGGAGGAAAAAAATTAAAGAATGATTTCTGGTTATAAGCAATGCACAATATCAAAATTAAGCAGTGAAAGCCCAAAGGAACCAAGCTGTTTGTAAAGGATTAGAGGTAGGAGAAAAGGGGTGATGCCTGGCTCAATTTAACAATGACTGACTGCCACCAGATTCTCTGGTCTTCCTGTTCATTCTGAGTTATTCAAATCTTTTCCTAACATGTTTCTCGACTATGCAAGTTAAATGCAGACAGTTTCTAGTGCTTGCAACCAAAACTCTGACTGGCACACTCCTTCAAGGCATAGGTTTTTCCTTTCAAAAAACAAATTTGAATTATATGTTAATAAATAATAAGTAAGCTAATTGTGGAGAAAACAAGTATGTCCATACATACACAGAGTATGTACACATGTATACATGCATAACACATACATTGGTATTCTCATCCTCAAAACTTTTGACCTGATCTAGTCTAGTCCAGCCAAAGTTTTTGAGGGTGAGAATAACTATGGCTACAGTACTTTATTGTCATTCCAAGTTAACCTAGAAGTTCACTGTTCAAGACTTTAGCACTTAMAACTGTAAACAGTCTTTATAAGATCTGTTGCTTTTTTCTTGACCATCAAGCATCACCCCCAACCCATGTCACAGTGTTGAACACTTTTTCCTGGTATGTCTCTTATGTACTTTGTCCCTTTTTATCTTAAGTTAAGCCACAAGTTTTCATGTCTTATCATCCTTATAGGCTGTAGGAACCTCAAGGGCACATTTTAAATCTGGATCACCCATGAATCTCTGATGGTATATAGCATGGGACTTTGCATAGAATAAGATGATAACTGACCCATAGAATGGTTTGGACAAATGCATCCTTGGTCCATAAGTCTTCTGTATCTGATGATATCAATAATAGAACATCATTGCTAGAAATGAACTGACAAATATCTCTGGTGGGAATGTAAAATGGAATACTTTTTATGCAAAATAGTTTGGTGTTTTCTCGAAATGCTAAACATAGGTGACTACATGCCACAGCAGTTCCACTCCTACACATATACCAAAGAGAACGRAAAACATACGTATACACAAAAATCTGTACACAGATGTTCAAGGCTATCTTAGTCAAAATAACCAAAAAGTATAAATAAGTCCATCATCTGAAGAATGGAAAAAAATGTGGTATATCTATACAGAAGAACACTCTGCCAAGAAAAGCCATGAAACAGTGATACCACCACCAGAAGAATGAATCTGGAAAGCACATGCCAAGTCAAGGAAGCCAAACATGAAGGTTCCATTTATGTGAAATGTCCAGAATAGGACAAAAACACAAAGTAGATTAGAAGTGGCCAGGAGCAAGTAAATAGGAGTGACTGTTAATGAACATTTGGTTTCTTTTCTGAATGTTGAAAATAGTCTTGAATTAGATAATAGTAATGACTGCACAATCTTCTGAATATGCTGAAAACACAGAATTTCACACTTTTAATAGATGAATTTTAGGACCTTGACTTTTATATCAATAAAAGTTTGAAAAATAAAACTAAAAGCCACCAGTGTGCAAYGCCCCGCTGTGGCCCACCTTTTTATCTGAAGGCGCAATTCAGAGCAATCATCTGCTAACTGGTTGTTAGCTTCTTCCAAGGTTTCTAATGCCAACTTAACCCTGTGATTTTCCTCTTCCAATTTCTGTTTGTTGAAATGTAGGTCTGCTACGTAGGTGATGAAATCAGACATCTCTCTGCAGGTGAAAGAATTAATGAGAATAATCTTCAACATCTCTGCTCTTTTCCAATCAGAAAAAAAGGCATACAGTTAAGCCCAAACAGGCTTCAATGTGCTTATGAAGTATTCTACTTTACCCTCATCACCGTCATCACAAAAGTAGTTACTCATAYAATAAGTATTTACTCAAACATCTATACTCCAATAGCAAAGATTTTTCCACAATTATCAGGCATTCAGTATTTGCCATTTGTGAAATCAACTTTCCACAGCTTGATTTCTTTCTTTCCACCTCCCTGCCAGCATTTGCCTCTTTCTACATCAAAGTGTTTTCTGTTTCCACATGGGATATGGAAAATCCTGAACTTTTAAAATATAATGCATATTCATTTGAAGGATCTCAGCAGGTTTCAGCAGGCCTTTAACTAGGAAACAACTCCTAGATCTTACATGTGGCCTGTAACCACAAYGTAGTACTTGTCTTTCCTATTATTTAGTATAGCTCATTAATATATGTTTGACTCTTGCCCCCAACATCAGCTCCTAAACCTAGAAACTCTGGACTGCATGTTTCATGGAATGTCAGGCCTCCTCTTTCTCTTTGCTATCATCTTTTCTCAGTTCTTAGGTTGGACAAATGGTTCCTACTCCACATTGTTGCTGGATAAAATAAGGGAGAGACAGAAACACCTCTTCAATGTATAAAGTGGTGTTTCACATATTCAGTGGAAAAGAAAATTGCCCACTCATGTCTAAAATGTTCTATTAAAGAAATGCTTAAAAATAATCCCCCAAAGATCTTGAGGTTAATATCATTACCATGCTTGAAATGGGACTTGTTTTTTATGGCAAACATATGAAGTTAATGGAGTAGGGTTTCGTGAGTGGGCAAATGGTAACTCTGGATTACTAATCTTACAAGAATTCATGTTCCTAGTGAAATTGGTTCTAAAGAAGATGGTATAGCATAGTTTAAAATTTTTTAAGTCAATTATGTTAGCTCTACTGAAAAAAATAAGAGTTGAGTGACTTTAAGTAAGAATGTGGATCTATAAATTAACAAGAAAATAAGTAAAGTTGAGGCACTTGAAAAGGCATCATAAGAACACTTACAAAACTCCATTAGACAAGTCTCCACCCAGAGCCTCAAAGCTTCCAGGTGTGGAATCTATTGTATCACTGGTCGTCTTAACTGAAACATACAAGAGGGTTAACAAAAAGTCCATTTTCTCCAAACCACAAGAAAGTAGCAGAATGATCCTGAAGAAACACACCCATACTACTCGCTCACCTGATTTTGTGCTGCCCTGTTGTTCAAAAACAGAGTCATCCATGATGCTACTCAATCTGCTTTTCACTTCTCCCCTGTATCCAAAACACAAAACCAGTGAGCTAGGATCCTTTGTCAGACCAAAGTTTTGTTCATTTTTTTTTTAAGGATGTGCTCCGTACCTTCCTAAGCAGCTATTTTTTCCTATGTTTTAAAATCATCTATTCATTCAATTACTTAGTGCCCAATATTGTGTCAGGGTGATAGAAAAGAAGCAGAAGGCATTGCCTCCAACATCCATAAACTTTTAATCAGATGTGGAAAAATAAAAAACACCATGCACACAGACATAGGCAGGTGACAGCAGCAGCATATGGTTCGGGAATGAGGGTGTTGATGAAGGAGGATGTTGGCAAAGCCTGAAGTGATAAATGGAGACTGGTGGGGACAGCAAGCTCATGGGCCTTAATAGATTCAGCAGGAAAAGCATGGACAAGTAGTACTTTGGTGCTGTCATTTAGACTCTTTATCACAGAATCAGGTAGACCCTACACTTAGAGTATTTCAAACATTGTYCTTGAAAACTGGGGAACCCTCTACCCAAGCCCTCTGTCTAGTACATAAGCTCTAGCTCTAACCCCCATCCCAATAAACATCAAATTTTCAAACATTTCCTTTCAAAGAAGCCTTATGGTTTATTACTAAATCTTTCTAAGCACCAGATCTTTCACCTCTATCTCTGAAGAAGCCACAACATTTTCTAAATTTGTACTTACATTTCCTTATTTTTCAGGTGAGATGTCTGATAGAATAATAAGCAAAACATAGCTAACTATTCCCATGTGCACAGCCATCATCATTTATGAATTTCCACTCCTATATTTTGTATTAATACCCTCCATGGTTTTCTTTCTTTTAAAATTGGTTATAAGAGTTTTTACTTTTGCCATCATCTGTTTTATACAAAGTTACTGATATTTTCATCATATAATCAAACCTACGTATTTTAGAAACATTAAAAAATTCTTAAGAAAAACTTAAAGTTAATGCAGAAATAATCATTTCTTAATATTCTCCCCATCATTTTCTGTGAATATTTTTATTTAAGAAAAATGCAATTATACTACATATACAGATCTATATCCTATTATTTGAAATAGATCCATATGGCTATTTCTCTTGACAAATATTAATCAAACTATAATTTTGAATAATTATTTAGGATTTCAGTGTATGGAACTTTAATATATTTATCTACTACTCAATTTTTAAATATTTAGGTTGATTCTATTTATCATTATCATAAACAACTTGTAAACATGTATTACAGCATTTGGTTATATATTTCATCACATTTCATTACCAACTCACAGAGATTGCATACTTTAAAAGTTTGATATACAACTTTTCAAATGCTTTTTAAAAAACTGTTCCAACTTGCACTTCTCCCAATAATGTATGAGAGGGTTTATTCTACCTACCCACACCATGAAACAAAGTCATTCTTTTAAATCTGTTAAATTGATGGGCAAAATTATATATTTTTGTATACTTATATTGGTTATTATTAATCTATGTATGGCATACAACATTCTAGCTATATTTTCTTAAGGAAATCATCCATCTTAAGGAAAGATGACCTAAGTCATCTATCCTTAGATGATTCCGTTAAGTTATCTATCCTTAGATTTCTGTGCCAGAAATCTAGCAAGTATTGCTACTTTTTGGTTTTGAAGGGTTCTTTCGTTTGTTTTGGTTAAAGCACATCCCTCATATGTATCAGCTGGAGATTGGTGGCTAGCAGGCACAGCAGCTTGGCTTCCTGAAAAAGGAAATGCACTTCTCTAGTATCTGCCAACGCATCTTAGTCATGGACACCATTCTCTTTTGTTCATCTTTTTCTCCTACCCACAGTCCTTTCCTTTTCCCTTTAGCCTTCCTGCATCTATAGCCCTACTGCCCTAAAAGAATTCACTCTTGCATGTCCTGGAGATTTGATGATATCAATAATTCACTTGGCTTCCATGCCAGCTCAATTCTTAGTGAGAATGTATTATGTGCTTCCCATCAATCACAAAAAGGAACATTATCAGAATTAGCATATTAGGACAATGGTCCTCAAAGGCTGCCCATCCCAGAAGCAGCAGCAATTTTACCTGGAAATTTGCTAGAACACAAATCATCAGACTTTGGCACAAATGTACTGAATCCTGGTGATGGGACCAAACCATCAGCTTAAATAAAGTCTTTCAGCATTGGATTATAGTATTTCCATTGACACATAAAACAATGATTAGCCACCAATTATAATGGATTGTTAAAACAGAATCTTTAAACACACTCTGCTGGGACTCTGATTACCATTTGTTTGCACTGAAAGCCATCCATTCTTTCACGATGGTTTGGAAGGTTTCCAGATCCACATGTGGGTCTCTCCTTTCAGGATCAAGCATGTTCCACAACTCTTCAAGGCTAGTGTCTTCAGAATCTTGGCTAGCTGTTTGTCGCAGGTAATCTATTATTTTGCTCACTTCTACTGAGCCTTAGGAAGAACAAAGGCAAATTTTGAAAGATGGAAAAAGACACATTTTAATGAATTGGATGCTAAACTTTGTTAGGCCCTTTGGACCTTAGAAATACAACATATAACCCTGGACTTCTGTCAAGCAGGCACAGCACAGTGGAAAGACCACTGGCCTTCAGTTGGAGTGTAATGGACCTGGAGTCAAATCTTGGTTCCATAGATTACTAGCCATGTGACTCTGAAAAATTCCCTCTCTCTCAGGGCCTCAGTCACCTATGAAATTAGGATGAAGACACTGATCATAGAGTTATTGTGAGGTTTAAATATTGATAATATATGTAGTTAACAATTATGGAAGTGAGAAAAATGCTAATTCTCTTGTTTGTTTTTTGTTTTGTTTGTTTTTCCCGAGAAAGCATTTAGTGAAGGAAAATTTCCTCTGCCTGAGATTTCAGTTTAAAGTAAAAACTTTGACTTTGGTGGGGTCGAATTATTCTTAAATGAATCCTACCATCACATTAGAAATTGAAGTCATCCAATTGTTATTAATYGATACACCAATCTTCTTTAAACATAAGACTTCTCTTTTATTCCAACCTAAGGCTTGCCTTTGGCTGGATGTTGGCAAGAAGGGGAAAAATAAGTAGAAGGTTGATGAGAGCTGCAGGATTGAAGATTCTTCCCTTGAGGAAGTATAAATGGTGGCCTACAGAAAAAATGTCTTATAATTAGGAGGAGGAGAAAATTTTAAAGGAAACTGAATACATTTAATGAAAATATTAATTTAATGCAATAGGTTATTTAGATATGACAGGAAGATTTGAAACTGAAATAAAATTGCTGTCACTTGGAATATGACCTGTCCKAATAAGCTCATGTGTTGGAAACATGACTCCAAATACAGCAATGTTCACAGATGAGATGATGGAATTCCAATTATGCTATGGAAGCTGTAACCTAATCATCGGATTAATCAACTTGAATTTGAAGGGACTTCTGGGTGGCAACTGTAGGCTAGAGGAAGTAGGTCATTGGTGTGCTCTTGGGGGTTATATCCTATTTGTGGCTCCCCACCCCTCTGCTTCCAAACTGCCATGAGCTGAGCAGCTTTCTTCTGCCCAGGGCAGTGGAGTCGGCTGGTCACAGACCGAGTCTCTAAAACCATGAGCCCAAGTAAACGTTTTCTCCTCTAGTTTTTCATATTTCTCCTCTAGTTTTCATATTGACTAACAACTGTTTATGCAAATTAGAGAGATGATCCGATTCCTTATTTGTAGTAGAATTGGGGGGTAAAAACCCGAAAGGCCAACAAAAATACCTTTTCATCCTTTTCCTCACTAAAACTCTAAACCTTCTATCACATACTGTCAAAGCTGAAAAGGTGTTAAACATTTAGTCAAATGTTGGCATTTATGTGAGGATTTTTTAGACAAGGTTAACATTTAAACCTATAGACTAAGGGAAACAGATAGTTCTCCCTAATGAAGGCCGGTTCTATCCAATCCCTCGAGGGCCTTCATAAAACAAAAGACTTGACTCTCCCCACAGTAGGAGAAAATGCCTTCAAATTGGGAAACAAACTGGTTTCTTTTTTCTGCATTTGGGCTCAATCTAAAATACTGGCTCTTCCTTCCTCTTAAACCTGCCAACTGTTAGATTAGAGCTATACCCTCAGCTCTCCTACTTCTCAGGCCTTCAAACTTGAACCTAGCTATTATGAACTAAACTGTCTCTCTTGACTCCTCAGATTTGTGATTCACCCTTCAGATTTGGGGTCTTGCCAGTCTCCATAACTGCATGACTCAATTCCTAATAAGTAGAGATGATTCCTTATTTTCTTCAGAGAAATAATTCCTTAAACATATATCCAAGCAGAGAGGCTTTCTGGGTACATATAAACCCCACTATAATTAAGTATACATGCAAATTATTTGCTGCAAGAAATGTTCATGTGGTATGTTTATAGAAGAGAAAAAAATAATATCCAATTAAAGTGGATTGGTTAAATGCGTTGTAAAAGTACAAGACATTCGTGATTAGGAGAATCAGATGGACAAACAGAGGTGCCCAGCATTCACCTCTCCTACAAATTAACAGGGGCATAGCTGCATTTTGAGAGGAGGTAACCATGCAAGAGTGCTGGAAACCAGAAGAAACTGGAATCTTGCAAAATTCAGAAACCTGGGACAACAGCATAGAAAGAAGAACAAAAATACCATACTAGCTCCACAGATCATCTCAGGTCTGTGGTAGGAAGAGAGGGAAATTTCCTCTCTGCAGGGGTAAGAGTCAAAAAGAGTTCTAGCAAGTCTGACAGTATGGATGCTGGCAATCTAAGCTGCTTGAAAGTTTCACAACACCCATAGACTTGCAACCCACTTAGATAAGTAATCTGAAATCTGCAGAGTAGCCTTGCTTTGGAAAAGGATTTTTTATCAAATCCCAGAGAACCCTCAGGGTGCTATAGGCAGGAGCCATATGAGAAAGGACCTATTGTCTGAATTTGAACAGCATTAGGGGTCAGAAACCTCTCCATATTCCCATCTCTGGGACTCCCACAAACATTCCACTGCACTGGCTCATCAGATAGCTGCCTCATGTACCAAATGGGCCCAGCAGAGTGACTCTGTCCCAAGTCTGTTGGGTGCCCTGCACCATAAGGAATGGGTGTTGAGACATGGAAAGGAATGGAGGGGATATCAGGGTGTTTGTCCTCCCAGGTGCCTATGACTGACAGGCAAGGATGGAACACCATGGTTCCTGCTGCTGGCTAACTCAAGGGTGTGCTGAGGGGGCTTTGAGCAACTCCCAGGGTCCAAGCATGCACAGCCAAAGGAAGCACAGAGAGCAACTGTAACCAGCACCATCCAAGGTCCTGCTCCCAGGCAGGTATTACCTCCAAAGCAGCAGAGAACACCACCATGATTCCTGCTGCCACCCCCACCCCGCATCCTTTCTGATCACACAGTTCTGTCAGGACTCCATGTGAGCCCCACAGAGGAGGTGCTGTTGTTCCCACCACCACCTCTCCCCATGTGGCATGGGGGCCCACACCACTGTTGATCAGAAGACAAGAGCTTCAAGCCCCACAACACTGCTGGTGCTGCCAGTGCCAGAGGCCCTTGCTAGCAGCATAATGCATCAACAGTACCCAAGGAAACCCTGTCATTCAACAGGGGTCACTATTCCCATTGTAGGATCAAGCTTGGAAGGAACACCGCACACATTCTGCTGACTACACCATACCTGCCTCAACACTAGTATGTCCCCACTTGGACATGGCCCACAGAGTGGGTTTCAACTCTGCCCCAGTATGCACTGCACTCAAAGTCACTAATCACAGCCAAAGCAGCTACAAAAAGACTACACTAAAGTGCCCAGGTAGAATAAAAACCAATACTGCCTACCAAACTAATACCCCAAGATACATTTTCAGGAAAAAGCCACTAAGAAGGCCAGCTCAAGTGGTAGATTATGTACAAATCTCAACAAAGGAGCCCAATAGATATGAAAAGAAAAAAAATATAAGGTAATATGATGCCTCCAAAAGAACATAACAACTCTCTAACAACAAAGCCCAAAGAAATTGAAATGGATTAAATCTCTCTTAATAAGTTTAAAGGAATTTTGAAGACATTTTAAACAGAGTCTCACTAATATTGCCCAGGCTGGCTTTTGAACTCCCTGGGTTCAAGTGATTCCCCTGAGGAGCTGGAACTACAGGTGCAGCACCCCACACACAACTATTTGTGAAGAGTTAATGACAGGGGAGATCAAGATGGCAGAGTAGAAACAGTCTGAAAGTTCAAAAAAAACCCTCTACAGTTCAGAATTGGAAATAGCTGGGAACAGCTATGTGGCAAGGGGGAGAAATAAGGGACTACATTAAGGTTTCATATTAAACAGAGACTCGGAGAGATTCTGATCACTGGAACAGAGAGCAAGAGGGATGGCATCACTCTGAACCTCACCCCTCAGAGCCAGGAGAGAGGGGACACAAAAGGAGAGAAAGAGAAGCAAAGTTGGGGGGGAAAATTGCTTCAGAGTAAGAGAAAATTACGCTAAACTTAGCTGATACAGACACTGCATAGAAAGCTAAAAAGTGAGATACCTGTCCCTCTTAGCTAGTGAATGGAGAGCTGTGGTAGAAAGCCATTTTTGTGAAAGTTACAGAATTGAGAAGAAAATTCCCCCATGTTCTTCTTTGGAGATAGCAGCACATTTTGCCATGGAGACTGCCTTTGAAGGAAGTGGGGAATCTATTCCCAACTGGAGATGGAAGTAGGGCAAGATGCCTTCAGGTGCCTGGAACAGGACTCTCTTCCCTGCACACCAAGATCTCCCGAGATGTGAGCATACACACACACACACACACACACACACACACACATACCTGTCACCCCCACCAGGGAGGCCTCCAATCGCCAGGCCAAGAACTCTCCAACACTGTCACCTCTGTTCAAGCAGGAGGCCCCAAGTTGCCTGGGCTCCTGGAGGAGCTCACAAAGTCACATGAGCAGCATGAGAGAAGGGTGGAGTTGGACTGTGGTAATAGCCTCCTGGACGTGGCTGACAACCCCCCCCCCCAAACAGCCATACATGCTAGAGAGGGTATATTTCCCCTGTGCCACCAGAGAACATAATGAGCTGGGATAGAAATCAGCACTAACATAGCAGGTTGGAAACCAAGATAAACTCTGGAGCCGGAGTTGCATGTGGTTTTGTGACCAGGATGCTGATCTAGATGGGGGAAAGAGTAAACACGCAGCACTCCCAACACCTGGCACATTTTGAATCTGCAAGTCCCTGAAATAAATCCTTCCACCTTAAAAACCTTGACATAGAGGAATTTTAGTATTTCTTACCCATTTTTTTAATCTTGTCTGCATTGAGTTGTTCTGATTCTTTTTGTTATTATATTCTTTTATGAAATTTTATGCTCATAAAATTTCTTTATAAATTAATTCATTAGTTGCATTTGCTCTTCCTTTTTCTTCTTTCCCATTTTATATTCCCTC